CCAAACATCCCCATTCCTACATATGTATAATGCAATTATAGCTTAACGATCATCATCTAAGATCATACTATTACCTTCATACCATTAATCATTGTCAATAACCAAATAATCTTGTCGTCATTTTAAATTGTCAAATACGAAAAGAACAACTGTTATGAACTGATCTTCCAAAAGGCAAACGCCACAAAGATGATCAGCAAACCATTAACAATCGAATAAATCGATTAAAAAAAGTTGTTACGTCTTTTTTAAACAAATAAATGCCAGAATGTGGAGACTTGGGGGTTGTTTGGTAGTTGCTGAATGATTTGATGTAAAATGATTAAGTAGTTATAATGATTAAGAGGCTCTCATGATATAGTGCAAAATGAAATACAATTGTTTGGTAATTGTTTACAATGAAATTAGGACGCTGAATGGTTAAGAGATACTCATGATACAAAATCATTCAGAGGGTTTTAGAACCATTAAAATACAAACTTTTTCACCTTTTAATAATTCAAAAACTGCTTCTCAATAAAACTATTAATAGATAAACAAACAACCCTTTAGTTGACTCTTTTGTATCAACTGTTATGGTCATATCAAAAATTGGAGGAGGGATAAGATGGGGTTGGGCCACATTTAGTGGTAAAGGAGTTGGGGCAAATACCACATCATGTCTTTGGGCATCCAAGTTGATCACCCAAATAAAAAGTTGTAAAATTTTCTATTTTTCTTTTTAGAAAATTATTAATGAAACTATTTTTTTCCCATGTTTTCTCACTGGACAAACGTGACAAGATCCAAAAATCTTACTTGGTAAGAGCGATGATAAAGATAGAGAGTCTTACCTGGTAAGTAAAGGTGACAACTTTCACCCGGGTAAGCGCTTACCATATATATTGTTGCACACGATACCATTTTGATATACTACAATCTTACCTAGAAAATAAATTATAGTTATTGACTCCTAACGGTAAACATTTACCGGGTAAGCATTTAGGTAAACATCCCCTTAGCCGTTGCGTTGAGTCAGCTAAAAAATGTTCTCTCGGTTGGTGTCGTTTGGAGGCAGATTTCGTCTGAAACTGGTTGAATTTTTTTATTTTTTTTGAAGTATATAATATTTATATACAACAAATAAAACAAATAAACTCACACATCCTCCTCACATTTGGTGAGGTTGAACCTTTGACCTCCTAGAAGGCCAAAAATTCACATACCGCTAGCCAAAGGCCCTTTGGTGAAACTGGTTGAAGTTGCCGACAATAAATATTTAAATCAATAATAAAAACTACAAAAAATAACTTTTATTCTAAAAAATGTTACGAGAATTATGAAACATATATAATTGAATAATATAAAACAATACATGTGAAATACATGTGAGCCGAGATATTTTTTCAAAATCCAAATAGTGAAATAAATATATATAAAACAATATTAGAATGGTACTCGCACAATGCAGCGAAATAAATCTTCATTTTAATATTTAATTTTTATTATTTGTCTCTATCGATGTAATATAATTTTATGTGGTTTTGAGAAAACGATAACGTTTTTATTTTTGAATGAAATATAAACTTGAAGATAACATAAAAAATTTAGAAAAATCAGTATTAAATTAACTATTTAATAGTTTTCGTTTTTTTGGTGTAACTTCTTTAATTCAATTTTTTATTATAATTTAATTTAGTTATAATAACAAAGTAATTTATTTTTGKTTTAATRATATAATTTTTRTTAAAGATAATAATTAAACATTCGGTTAGAAACTCAATAATTATCTTAATTATATTTTAGATTTTTTATATTTTAAAATGAGATGTTTATCCTCTATTTGATTATGTTTATCCGTAGTTAGTTATACGAATTCAAACATTGAGCTTTAATAAGTTGTACTTAATGCATAATTTACTTGTAATCTTGAATTTTAAGTAATATGTATCAATATACAGTACTTTACGCATAAAAAATGGTTTTTAAGAGTTTTTGTCAAATGCTTTATAATATAGTATAGATATTAAATCATAGTCTTAAACGAAACTTGTTGAATGGTTGATAATACCTATTTATGGTTTGTTGTTAAATTCTATTGATAAGACAGACGCAAGGAATTTTATAAATATTATATATTATACATGTAATTTTATTTGTAACCTACCTATTAATTTATTATAATGGTTTTGCAGTGAAACCAGAGTCATATACTACATATCTTGATAATCTTATGGAGCATCTGGTTTGATGAAATTATTTTGAAAGATTTGGATTTTATGGAAGGATTTGGAGTCTTTAGTGTGTTTGGTTTGTAGGTTTTGAAATAAATTTGAATTTTATTTTTTATAAATAATTTATAAAAAAACAAATTATAAATAATTTAAGTATCAATTTACTAATTGATTATTACAAAACAAATGTTTTTAATAAAAATTAGAACATTATAACATACAAATCCTACAAAATCCCGTAAAAAATACCAACCATCCTCATAGGATTTCAAAATCATTTGTTTGTGAGATTTCAAACAATGGAATCATTCAAATCGAACATGAGATTGAAATGAAATTCAATTTTTAATTCTTCTATTCCATCCAATCATATGAACCAAACGAGACCTTAATGTGTTTTGTAAATATAAATTAACAAAGTAAGACGATAATTAAATTATTAATTTTTTTTTATTTAAAAAAAAGCTAATATATTGTTTTTATAAACTTTGTTTAAAGTATTACTAATAAAATCAAAGATGTAACAAGTCTAACTAAAAGTCTCCAATATTTACAAAGGAAAAGACACGACGCAAGTCTTATTCTCCGAGGGACGTCAAAAGTCAAACGATACTAAAAGTCAACCCTTTCTAACCAAATCACAATCATTAGACCATCCTTATCATACAATTGTCCAACAATAACGCTTAAACGGGAAAATGTTCAATATGAATTTAAAATTTTAATTAAAACTAGTATTATTATATCTATATCTATATCTATCAAGGCAAGCTTCAAACTCATGGATTTCGACCATTGTTTTTGATTGATTTATGGTCTGTATCGATTTTGCTTCTTTGTTTTGGACTCATTACGTATCGTCGTTATCGATTCTTTATAGTTTCTTTGACTGGTTATTTGTCGGTTTAGGTTTACTTTCCTAAAGCTCGATTGTTTTTCATCTCCAAATCTCGATTGCTTCTCTTTCAAAGTAAGCTTCAATCTTATGGGTGGCTGTATTGATTGACCATTGCTTCTAATTGCTTGATTGATTTATAATTTGTACCCATTTAAACTCTAACATCAAGTACCTTGATTCAAAACCTAGGTTTATCCGGGAATTTGTTCATCCAGTTGCTATGCAATTAACAACATAGGTATATATATTTTAACAGAAAAAAATAGGTTACTGAAATCAAATCTAATTAAAACTCCACAAATTGATACAAATACCACTAAAATGGATGGTTGAATCAAATTCCAAAAAGGACGAGTATTTGTTTATTTAAATATGTTAAAACCATGGAAACGAATGGAGGTTAGTTGTCAAGTTTAGATACAAGGGGCCGTTTACCTAATTGCTTACATGGTAAGCGCTTAATGATAGGAGTCAACACTATGATTTATTTTGATGCACAAGATTTTAGTACATCAAAACATATCGAATGCAACAATTTATTGGGTAAGCGCTAGGTAAGAGTCGTCATCCTCATTTACCGGGTAAGACTCTCCATCATTCTCATCGCTCTTACCCGGTAAGATTATTGGCCCTTCTCATGTTCATCCGATAAGAAAATTTATCCGGTAAGCACTTACCAAATAAGTGTTTAGTAAACGGCCCCTTAGCATGCCTTCCAATACAGGAATTCCACAAAACACACCCTTCTTGCTAGGTCTTAAATGACCAACGGACCTACTGAATGTATCGGTCCCAAGCACAAGGTATTGTTTCTAATACATCCAGGAGACAGGCTAAGACACATTGAGTACACCCGATACATGTATCATAAATCTTTACTGAATATGTGACCATGTGACTAGGGGTGAACAAAAAACCATCAACCCATGAAACCCGTCCAACCCAACCCGCTAACAACCTAATTAAACCCAACCCGTCAAACCGCTAAACCGCCAAACCGCTAATTAGGAAGGTTGAAATTGGGTTAGCATAACTTAACCCAACCCAAACTGCCAACCCGCCGCTAATGTATATTTTTTTATAAAATTATGTGTGTGTGTATATATATATATATATATATATATATGTGTGTGTGTGTGTGTGTGTATGTGTGATATTTACAAAAATTAAGGAGGTGTTTGGGAATTTGTTCTTAAGCCCTTAGCCCAATAACCCTTAAGGCCTTAGCCCTTTAAGCCCTTTCCCTCTTATGTGTTAACCCAACAAGAATAAAAATTAGAAACACTAACCGGCTAACCCTACATCCCTGCTTCAAATTACGTCTTTCTGAGTTTCTTCTCCATCACAAATTCACAATTCACAATTTCAATTTTCAAAGATTCCTTCATTCCACAACAAACCCTCTGTCGGTCCATCCCTTACGACCTTAGCCAGTTAGCCTGACCGTCAACCCTCCGTCCTTGACGTGCCGAGTCTGTCGCCTGCTGATGCCTCCTTCCTGAATACTCGTAGCGTCCAACAGCTAGAAAGACGTAACTAGAAATCGACCAGGAAATGGGAAGTCTGTTGCTCGTATCAAACTTTTGAAAATTGATTTCAAGACTTGAGGATTTAGTCTTTAGATATATTTTTGGATGATTGTAATAACTAATGACTTTGTTGGGTATATTTTTAGTATTATTTGTCATATTTCATTTGCCAATATTATGAGTTCTAGTAACCCACCAACCCAACCCAACCCGCCCTAACCCGCAAGGGTTGAGTTGGGTTGGGTTATACTTTTGAATGGGTTGGGTTGGGTTGAGATTTCTCAAACCGTCATAATTGGGTTGGGTTGTAAAAGTGTCATAAACCGCCCAACCCAACCCGTGTTCACCCCGAAATGTGACATTGGATGCATTCATCTTTTAACGTGATACACTTTCAATCTAGTAACTTTATCTAATCAAAGTATCGAAAAATAACATAGAAATCCTAATCACAAACATATAGATGCCTTACTATCAGGGTGCAGAAGGAGATGTTACAGATTCACCTGGTTCGGGTTCATCCATTTCAGAGACCTCGTATTCATCCACTTCCAATTCATCTGAATTTGACTCATCATCTCTGTTACTTTCATTGCTAAACTCATCTACCTCTTTGTTACCATTCTCGGGTTCTTTGAGATTCTGTGACCGGATTTTAACACGCTTTCCTTTAATGTACCTGTACTCCCATTTCGGTGGCGGGTATTTATTCTTCAATTTCTGGTACTTGTCCAACATACCCAACTTCTGAAACACATCTCCAACCATATTAACAATTGAGACGGTGGGTCGGATGCCAAGCTCTTCCATATCAGCAAATACCTGGCGCAAATTAATGAGCATTAGATGAATATAGGAACAAAATAGTCATGCTTTGTTGATTTTGATCAATCGACAACCGTGAGGGTCCTTTGGTTATATAACTTTCCAACAATTTTCTTTTAAATCCATGACGTTCTGACAGGTTTAAGAATGCAACAGAAGAAAAGGGTAATTTAGGTATATAACTTTAATGAGATTTTAATTAAATCCATTACCTTGTGCCCTATTAAAGAAAAATGTCTCCATACTCATTAGAAAGTCGTGGATTTAATTAACTTCTCATTTATAGGATCAGATTAAGAGGATAACCGCAAAAAAATGAAAAGCTGAGGAACACTCTTGTAACCATTCATCTGTACTGTATGCACATGTGCATACAGTACAGATGAATGGTTACAAGAGTGTACTGTATGCACATGTGCATACAAGTAATTTATAAATAATTTTTCCGGTATGCACATGTGCATAACATGCACACGTGCATAGAAACCGGATAACATCTTCAATTATATGTATGCGCATGTGCATAACATCCATATGAACACTTATTCGGGGGTGTTTTCTTTTGTTTGGGTGGTAAGCAAGGTACAACATTTGGTTCTAAATTAACGACTTAAGAGGTGGTCAAAACTTGATTTGAAAAAAAAAAAAAAAAGAAAGGTACCTCAAACATCTTGTCATGCATTTGCCTTCGGTAATAAATGAAAATCATTCTATCGAAGAATACTCGAGGCATACTTTCTAAATTATCAGAAAATAACCTCGTCCATAGCTCTTCGGCTTCATCAATTCTTCCATCCTCTGCCAAAGCATATAGCAATAAATAATAGCTCCCCATTGTTCTTCCTTGGCCTTTGCTTAACATCCACTTGGTAACCTTAAAACCCATGTGATTAAAAATTTGTTCGATAAACCCACAAAGCAAAAGGAAACAACGCGTAAAAAGAAAATGTTAAATTATAGGGAAATTGACCAAAATAGCCAACCTCCCCAACTAACCTCACTTTTTAGCCACTTTTTCAATTGAATTCCCATTTTAGCTGGTTTACGCAAATGTCTTGCGTAAACTCGATTTTCAGATTAAAAAAGAGGGAAAAAATATTTTTGTGTAAAGATTCAAATTTTTGTGTAAAGAATCCTACGCATATGCGTAAGGATTTTCTTCTTCTAGAAATCAGTTTTTACGCAAACATGAAAAGCATCTGCATAAAGACCGGCTATTTTTGGGAAGAGACTCTGAAAAGTGGCTAAAAACTGAATTTGGTTGATGGGATAGGCTATTTCAGTCGCTTTACCAAAATTAACTTTGTACCTGAATTATTTTTTTCCATTCCTTCTCATATTCAAGTGCTTTCAAAGCTTTTTTCACAGTAATTAAAGGGAATTCCAAATCCCATGCAATGAAAGAATCGAGCGCCCCATAGACTTCCTCTTTGACATTTGATAATCCCTTTATCTGGCACACAATGGCGAAAATAAAATTTATAATTCTGGACGAAAGCATTATAAAAATTAACATTTAACCTCCTGAATTTATGGGAGTTGCTCGGCATATTATAAATCCATTTACTCTGAAACTAACAACCATACGGAGAAAAATAACTTACACATTCAACAAGTTTCAATGACTTGGAAACGGTCCCTACTTTTGTTCTGGTTTTCCAAACTCGTGGATATCTTGGTCGAGGACCTTTAGCTGCACATACCTGGAAATTGCTACAAATCATGTGAAGAAGAGAATAAACAGCTTGAAAGTAACAACTACATCATATTTGATAGACTAAGGCGTTGGTTGGTTAGAGACAGTTGGTCACTTTGTACTTGCTTTATCCGATTGCTCCCAGACTAAGGGGCCGTCTACCAAACGCTTACCAGGTAAGCACTTACGTGACACTTACCTTACCGGGTGAGCATGGTATGGACCAAGAATTTTACCTGGTAAGAGGCATGGCAACAACCAAGGTTCTTATCCTGTAAGTGAGGGAAAAGACTCTTTGGGCTGTTTACCAAATTTTTTATTAAGTCCTGTATGGATAAATTTGTCTGTCTGGATAACTGGGTGTTGTTTATTTTTTTTATCTGAATCAACAGTCTGAATAACATAAATGACCGATTTACCCCCCAATATTAATTATTTGAACATCAAAACAAAAAATCATAAAGAGGCCAAGTATGGGGTGTCTCATCTGGGAAGGAGGCGGTGCTTTAAATAAGGGGTAGGGGTGTTATTTTTGTGGCTGAATGGGCACGACACACCATTTCTATCTCTGCGATTAAGCCATGTTCTGTGTGAATAAGCCGTAAGTAAACAACCCAAATGAGTTGTGCGAATAAGCCAGATAGACCAATAAGCCTAGTTAAGCTGCAAGTAAACAGCCCCTTGTCCGGTTAGCGCTTACCGGGTAAGAGACGCTCACTAACAATCCATTTTGATGTCTGGGAATACTACCTGACAAGGTAAAAGATGATGGTGACTCTTGCCGGTAAACGCTTACCCGGCATTGGTGTTACTTATTTGAGTTTCATCAAAGCAGGAAGCAACTAGAAATTGATTTTCATTTTATCAAGGATATGGTCTTGTCCAAGTCTCTCAGTGTTAGCTATCTTCCAACAGTAGAACAGTTAGCCGATATGCCTACTTTCTACATTCAGGTTTCTTTTTCTCCGTATCAAGCTTCTTGTCTATGATGCCATTCAACTTGCAGAGGATGATAGACTTAGGAGCTACTCGGTTAGTTTGAGGCAGTTAGAAGTAACGGACCTTCTATTGTGTGTGTTTGTGTTTATTTTGTTGTTTTACTACAAGAATTCTACCTCAATATTCAAGTTAAGAATTTACATTGACGTTATTATTGGCTTCTATCTTCATCTCCTCTTCTATCACTCAAGTTGTACGGAGTTCCATTATCACATGCCAATGCCTAAAGAAAACACAAGGCCACTTGGTATTCTTCCTGATAAGATTCGCTCTAAGCATTTCACTTTACAAGCATTCTGGAAGTATGTGTTCTCAAATGGACCATAACATCAATGCTTAACGGTAACACTTAGGAGGTTCCTATCCACTTTGTGGATTAAAAAATGAGTTCCGTATAACTACAGTTCCCATCAAGATAAGAAAAACGAAATATTGCTCAAAAAGAAAGAAATGCAGATTTGAAGGTAATTTAAAGAACGCAATACAGGTTAGGGTTAAGATTCCATGTCAATTTGAGGCTTACCACGCAGTTGCTAACTTTCTTCGGGAATTCAAGGAATTGCAATCTTCCGATAAAATCAGGTGGAGAATAATACCTCAATGTAAACATCCTAACAAGAAAACTGAAAGAAAAATTATTATGACTTCATACCCTGACAAAAAAATATAAGCGAGGATGCCTATGTTTTGGGTTCCTGAGTTCAACACCACAATTTCGAGAGAAATAATCGGAGTATGAAAAAATTCTCAGAGGTGAAATATCAAACACCTTTCGTGCATACGTATAGCACATCAAAAGTGCTGAAATCACTCTACTTCATCATTTCAACACACATGTTAAAGACCAAAAATCCTTGAATCTCATAAGTACTTGAACTGAAGTATGAAAATATACCTCTGACAGGTGGGAAAAACAAAAGTTTACACGGCAACCATTGAAGTAGTGAGATCAGATTTCGGTTGGTTATTCTTCAAAGCCGTGAACAGAAAAAGCAGCATAGCAGGAAACTCAAAAGGGTTTTAGAATCGAGTACGAGTGGACGAGGAGCAGGAAAGCGGGAAGGGGGGGAAATGGGAACCGGAAGCCTGAAATTTTCAAGAATGGAGAATTGGAGATGCAGGGCTATCGGGTTGAGTACTATTCAACCGGGTCTGGTTCGTTTCCGATCCAATTTTACGGGTTGTATTGTCTATTCATCAAAATTTTCATTTCGGGTCTGAAACTCGTACTTGGTTTGCGCCGATACACTTAACGGAAGACATTGTTTATTGAAGGCCAATTCGGTCATTTTATATGTTTGTTATTAAATAAATAAATTAGGGGTGAGCATAGGCGGGTATCCGTTCTTTTTGACAGGAACCGGAATCCTATGTGTACATAACAACCATCGACGACATCACAAACCCAATTCATTCACCATCTACCCCAACCAATAAATGATTTCCCCAAACACCAATCAAAAACCAAACCCATATGTGGAGGTATGTTAGTCGTCACTGTTTAGATTGCCAATGAATGAGTCTAGGTAATTCGTTTATAGATCATCAATCATCGATGAAATGATGTTGTAGTGACGGGTTTTATACCAGTTATTTTGCATTCATACCGATGATGAGGGGTTGTAGGAGATGAAAGAGAAGGTTTTCATACCAATATGGAGGTGTCGGTCGGTTGGGTCGGAGTTATAGGTGTGAAGGGAGGGGATGTAAGGACGATTTTAGACTTGTTGAAACATAGGGACAATTTTCAGATTTTTGTTCTGATAGAAGGGACCAAAAATGGAGTTTGCCCTTAACCCTATTTTAGTCGGGTCGGGTTTACCCTAATTATAGGGAATATTCGGAAACAGAAGTACATCCGTCTTCCTTTACGAAAAGAAGTATTTCTTTATTTAATCGGATAAAACTGAACCACAATAAAGAACTCTCTCCGTCGTCGAAGAATCTCTTTCACCGATCTCGAATCGAATACGGAAATGCTGGTAATTGAACCGGCAACCGCCTTCCGTATCCCCGCCGGCCGCTTTGCTCGTGATTGCCGCCTCATCTCTCACTCCCGCAGCTTCTTCATTCCTTGGTATTATTACTTTCCTACAAATTAAGCTTTTATTTTACCTTTTGCTTTAAGCAATTGTTGAGGATTTGGGGGATCATATTGTTGACTAGTGTATTTTGCGTTTGATTTTATTGTTAGCAACAAGATTACGAGAAGGAAATATTTGACGAAGAACAGAATCAGGGCTTCGGCGGAGGAGCTGTCCGGTCCGGTGAAACAAGCGAAGCCACAGCGGTATCACCCATCTGAGGACATTTCGGATTCTGAAGAATCGGATGAGAATGGGGACGCTATACTTGGACCTGCTGAAACTAGCAGGACTGTTATTGAGGTAGTTCTAGCACGATTTTGTTGAATTTTGAAGCAGCTTAATTAGAAGCTTATGTATTTCATTGTTGATAGATGTTTGTTGGCAAAAATTAAATGTTATGATCAAACTAACATAAAAGTAGCCTCATGCAATTGTCTTTGGCTCCTCAAATAAGATGTGGCATTGTTTTACTTACCTCTGCCATAATATGTAGATACACCGTTGCTCATGTCTTCTGCAGGTTGGCTATTCATGTTGTCTCTAATGCAAATGGAAATAACTACAACTAATTCTGCTTGCTATAGATCATGGAGGAAGCTGTTTCTGGACTAATATGCGGTTTGAGTTAGGAGCTATTTTCTCATCTGCTATAAACTTCTTTGCCATGTCATGATACTTTAACATAAAAGTAACTTTGACGGTCAAAGTTCATTTAAGAGTCAACATAATGCTATCTTCATTGGGGTTGTAATGCTGTATCGTTACCTTTATAGCACACACTGATCATTGCTGGAGTCGATTAGTAATAAAACGTAAGGGCAGCTACAAACAGCTGATCTTTCCTGCATTGCAGATTTAGCAATATCGCATCTGATACTGATAGCACCCATGTTATTTTGTTAGGTAAACAGCAAAGCAATGCTTATGTTCTCGGGTCTGGTAAGTAATGGGGTCCATGAGAATATCTTCTGGCCAGATTTGCCTTATGTTACCGATGAACATGGAAGTAAGTTGGCCTGTCAATGTTCCTGTTGTGTAACCTTTTGAAGGAAACTTATCTTTGTAATCGTTTTTCCTGTTATGATGCCTCTCAGGTATATATTTCCAAGTGAAAAATGACGAAGACATTCTTCAAACTCTTACTTCCGAGGATGTCCTTGTGGTAAGGATTAAGGAATATGAATTTTAGGGTTTAAATCTCACTTCGACTCTTTACTGTGTCCAATTTGCTTGATAACATCGAATGTTCAGGACACCAGGCAAAAAAATGTGATTCTGCCAGAAATTGACAGTTGAAGTTTTGACTTATGTAGATTAGTCTAAACAACCTTCAAATCAACTTAAAACTAAAATAAGTTATCAGTATCTCACAACCTAAGGCTTCTAGATGACTTGCAATTCTAACTCACAAGCAATGTGGGATGGCATGTTACAATCACCCCCACACAAATTTTTGACGTGCTTGTCAGGCATACATATTAACTCGAACAGACCTGAAATCCAAATCCCGGGGAGATACATGAGTCCAACCCATTAGACATCGAGGGGGTGACCGCTTTAATATCATTTGTAATGCTCCAATCCCATAATATTAAACTAGTTTATGGTCACCAAATCAGCTTAAAACCATACTAGGAACTTTTAGGCTTTTAGCAGCCCACAACCTAGGACTTATAAGTTGTTCACAGTTCTAACTCTCAACAGATGCGGGATGGGATGCCCCATCACTTTTTGTATGCTTGCGTAAATCAGAATTTTGCAACAAGTCGCTTCTAATTCAGATGATACTTAAAACATGGGAAGGCATAATGCAAAATTAAATGACAAGCAAAAACCTACTACCAAATAGAATAATTTTTAGAGTAGATGCATGATGCATGTCATGCATCTAAAGACAACTGTCTTTATTAACTTATTTAACCAATAAACTCAATGCAGCAAGTCATAATAGGCTTAGATACAACTGAAATGGTGAGTGAGATGGAGTTGATAGGTCAAGCAGAGTCTGATTTTGATATGGAAGAAATTGAGGATGAAGATAGTGGGACTGATGATGACGATGACAACGATGATGATGATGAAGATGACGAGAGTGGCGGCTATGAAAATGTGACAACTTCATTGCTTTTTTGTTTTTTTTATCTCACTTACCAGAGCTGTTGCCATACATCTTTATCGTGCCTAAATGTTGTAGGAATGGGTTTCACTTCTAGAAGATGAGGAGGATGATGATGATTCTGATGGATCTCTCGGCGACTGGGCAAAGTTGGAGACCATGCGTTCTTCCCATCCAATGCATTTTGCTAAACAGTTGGCAGAGGTAAGCATTATTAGTTCAGACAGTTTTACACTGTGAAGCATTGAGACAGATATGTCTCGACAAAGTGGATTTTGTCTTTTTGCTATGCCAATCAGTTATCTATTCGTGCGTTTTTTGTGTTATTTTTTCTTCTTCTTCTTCCTAGATTCATGCCAGAGTCAATTTCAAGCATCAGTTGTATATTTACAGACATTTGTTGTTCTTGGGTAAACTTTTCCTCTTCCTCAGTTTGTATCAGATGATCCGGTGAACTACATGGAGCAGCCTCCTGCTGGTCTTGCTATTCAAGGCCTTCTTAGACCTGCCTTTGTTGAAGAAAATCCTGTCATAAGTAAACATATGCTTGACAATGGCCATAGGGATGTATCAGGGCCATCTAATGATGAAGAAGCAAATCAGTTTTCTGAAGGCAAAGAAGAAGATATCGGTGTTATCAATGGCCATAGGGATGTATCAGGGCCATCACAAGATGCTCCAGATGCAGAAGAGGAATTGCAGAAAGATCAAATCTCTGGAAATGGGACTTCTTATTATAAGCTAGACATGATAAAAATTCATTTGATCTCAGCACATGGAAATCAGGTATTCTGGTTTGGTTTCAACTCATCTTCTTTTGACTTGTAGCATTTTGGGTCTTGCATGATATTATGGAAGGTAGCAGTTCGTTTGTACCTCTTCCCTTATGATTCTTGGCTTGCCATCGATCAAGAGTTCTTACATTTAAGGTTCCATAACAGGATTGAAGGTGTGTTCCACTTGAAAATCAATCGATGGAAATTCACCTTCTGTTTCTGTTGTGTTGTAGGACCACTGTCTGCCAAAGCTCTTCTATGTGCTTGCATTATGCTTTCATTCCGTATGTGTTTCAAATGATAGACCTTTCCCCTGCTGTGTTATTTGTCGCACCATCCAATTATTGGCCAGAATGTGAATCTGTGGTTCAGTCATCTGAGGCATAACGGATTCATGGTGATGGTTTGATGCATCCCTGCTACGTGTTGATATAGAAGCATGTATGACCTAAAGCTGTACAAGTGTTCACTTATTTGTACACTTCTTTTCCCTGCAACAACCAATCATGCCTCCCTCATTAACATTGGTACCTGTACTTGTGAGAATATGTGGAACCCCATATCACTCTCCAAAAGAGCCCTTGAGGAGAAAGGAACGTTCCAACATATATATATAGAAGTGGTCCAAGTCTAGTCGATGCGGGACTCCAACACGCTACCTCCAATGGAGGCTAGATGGACACCAATTGTCCCACAATGTCGAGAGGGGCTAGCCAGAGTGTCGGGTCTCTAGAGTGGTAGACCTTGGCTCTAATACCATGCGAGAATGTGTGGAAGCCCCAGATCACTCTCCAAAAGAGCCCTTAAGGAGAGAGGGGAGGTTCCAATATATATACAGCAGAAATAGTTCAAGTCTAGCTGATGTGAGCTTCCAACACATCCCTCCAACGGAGGCAACATGGACACAAATTGTCCTAGGGTGTCGAGAGGGGGTTAGCTAGAGTGTCGAGTCCCTAGAGTGATAGACCTTGGCTCCGATACCATGTGAGAATATGCGGAACCCCCAAATCACTCTGCAAAAGAGCCTTGAGGAGAAAGGGAGTTTTCAGCATGTATAAAGGAGAAATGGTCTAAGTCTAGCCAATACGAGACTCCAACAATGCTCATACTCATGCTTAAGTGTTAGTGGACAGAGATGAGATGCATTATGACCTAAACATGGAATAGTGGTCATTCAAATTATTAAAATCTTTTGCTTGATGGAAAGTGTTTTGGATGTATGCGAGTGTCTCATATTACTGTTACTTTGAAAATAACAGAATATTGACACATACATAATATAACAAATGCTCTACAGACTGTTGTTGAAGTTGAGGATTTTAGAAAGGCTCGGCCTGATGCTATTGCACATTCGGCTGCCAAAATCATATCTCGTCTCAAATCTGGTGGAGAAAAGACAACACAAGCCCTTAAATCGTTATGTTGGAGATGCAAGGGACTTCAAGTAGAGGTAATACATACTCGCTTTATGTTCTTTGACCTAAACCAAATCCTAATGTTAATTTGTGTTTACATGCGAGTTTATATTTATTTTTTATGATATTTCTGTTGGGAAATAATGTGAATATAATTACGTTTGTCTACCATGAATGAGTCATCTGTCCCATACTAAACTCACGACAGCGAACAACCTAATAACAACTATGAAATATATCGGATTACAAATTATATGTGGGTACAATAATAAATATGAGAAGCATCTAAACATCACAACAATATAACATGGTAGGCTAAACACCTTCGACTTTGAAATGAAGATATGAGACAAAGCACAAATAATGAATAAATGTGAATGACTATAAATCCAAGGGACTTGTGTAGAATCAGTATTTTCTGTCTTTCATCTAAACCAAATCCTAATGAAGAATTGTAACCTAGAATGACTATAAATCCAAGGGACTCGTGTAGAATCAGTATTTCCTATGTCTTTGATCTAAACCAAATCCTAATGAACAAATGTAACCTAGAATGACTATAAATCCATGGACTTGCTCGTGCCACTTTGGTGCTTGTCTGGATGTTGAAAACTTTGTACCGAGAGTTGTCTTTCAATTTAGACAACTTGCAAAGCGACTTCACAAGTTGCATACAAGTCGCTGAAACATGCAGTCAGTATCACAAAATTCAACAGTCTCCATATCAACATTTGGTGGTTCTGTCCAGATTTTGACTGTTCAGATAAGTTGTTGCTTCATATGAGGAAGGCCGTAATGTGAATTACATTGCATCTAATGACAGGAGGTAGCTGTTATTGGCGTGGACAGCCTTGGATTCGATGTAAGAGTGTGTTCTGGAAGACAAGTCCAAACATTGCGATTTGCATTTAAAAAGAGGGTAATTACCAACTTCTCCTGAATGCAAGTTATAAAAAAGAACCAAATGTGTCTACATGCATCATGTTTATGCTTTTTTTCAAAATTTGCTTAAAATCGGGTTCAAACAAGAACAGTGATCAAATAAAAGAACACGAGAACGGTCAAATCACATGTGATTTTACATAAACTCACTTGTAAAATCGCATGCGATTAAGCACGACCTAGCCCACACACCCTTATGTTGATTGTATTCCATAATCGTGTGTGATTTCAGTGCAAAATTGCATGTGATTTGACCTTTCTCGTATTCTCTTATTTTGACCCTATTCTCATTTGATCCTCCCTTCGTTTGCTTGTTTTCGATTTTCAGCATGTAACATGTCTACATGCAACCAAGTTACTAAACTGCTTCTGCTATCAAGTTGCATTTTGTTCCTAGTCTTAGGGGCTGTTTGGTTGGTTATACAAGGCCTGTATGGATAAAGTTGTCTGTATAGATCGAGAAGATTTTTGTTTGAGAGAGTTTTTCCATAGATGAAAGAGGGGTGTTTTTTTTTTGTGAGTGGCAGGTTTGGGAAAAAAAACTTGGCTTTTTGCATAAAGCTCCCCTTAGAAGCTTACTACATAAGCTACTTTCTATATAATTAAGCCACTAACGAACAGTCGTGTATAGCTTACCGAATAAGCTAGAGTCCCATTAATCTCATTAAGTTGCTAACAGACAGGCCCTTAGTCCAGTTAGAAGCCTGGAGTAGGATCCTATCATCCTCAACCTCCCAATTTTGGTGATGTCTCACTAAATGACCAACATCTTTGTTGCAATACAGGCCTCTTCGGAATACAGTGCTGAGAGACAGTTGAATTACGTACTCTTTCCAAGAATCCCAGGCAAACAACAGAAGCAGAAAGAAGCCCATCAAACAGAACTCTAATGGCGCAGAAATAACAAATTTGTAGGCAAAACCTTTGTGCTCGTTATGTACATAGCAGGCCATTTTTGCTGCTCAATTCATCATTCTTTATAATCTTAATTCTATATATTGTAAGTTGTAAACTTAACAATCATGTAATCCATCCTTTCAAAGTTCCCTCCATGTGTTCAACTTCAATGAGTAAATATTGACTACGATTCTGCCAAAAAACCAATCAAATTTGTTGTATAAAAATATAATTCTTCTTTTTACAACAAATTTCATCAGTTTGTTATCAAATCATCATCGTTCCATATTTTCTCAGGCTGAACAATTAAAGTAGCGTCATATATATGCTTTGTGAATCTTACACTTCTATTATTAATCACGTCTTTTACATAACATACATATAACAGCATCCGAAAATAGATGATGCATTTCACTCTTGTGGAACTACAAAACACGAGATGTTTATTGTTGTAATATTTAGGGATAGGCTAAATGGACGAATATAGGTTGCTAAATATCCACCTACCAACTTTTACATGTTATTTGCTAAATAACTATTGTGGGAAATCTACCGAAATAACCAAAGCCGATAGGTGGTTTCATTTGTTTATGCATAAAGATAGAAAAACCTTAAAAAGTGAATTTGAGTTAGAAAATAGCTAAAAAGTGTTTGCTCTATTAGATTTCGCAGCTATTGTTTATGGTTTGATTCTAGGGTTTCGTAGGCCAATTGAGCACTTAAAAGATCTACTACTGCTGACCCAACTGATACAAACACCGTGATCTCCTCCTCCCCTTTCCGCCCAATCTTATCTCCCTTGATCAACTCCACCAGATCCCCTTCCACGTCTTCCTTCTTCATCACGCCTCTCTCAAACGCCCCCACCAGTTCTCCGGCCTCCACCAACGCCGCCGCGTTGTCCACGAAAACCCTCCCTCTCTTCACAGCTTCATCATCACATTCCCTCATCGACGGCTTATACGATCCAATCAAATCCAAATGAGCTCCCGCCTTCAACCACTTCCCCAAAACCAACGGCGTCTCGGAATTCGTCGCACAGCTCACTATATCCGCCACCGCCACTCCCGACTCTATATCTTCACAAACTTCAAACCGCAACCCTTCCATTCCACTTTCCTTTCCGATTTCTTCAACTAGATTTCTCGATTTTCTCGAAGTTCGGTTCCAAATCATAACATGATTAATGCTAGGTCGTGTTGTTAAGTGAGCTTTGATCAAGTGTGGAGCTAACGATCCGGCGCCAACCATTAGAAGGATCTGAGAGTTTTTCTTGGAGAGATGGTTCGAGGCGACAGCGGAGACACAGGCGGTACGGCGGAGGGTGAGCTCGGTTCCGTCCATGGATGCTAGGATCTGGCCGGTGATGGAGTTGAAGAGCACGTAACCGGCATGGACTCCAGGTAGGTTTAGGGCGGAGTTGTTGGGGTGAGTGGTGACGAGTTTGATGCCGATGTAAGGGAGGGTAGTTGAAGAAAGAGACCATGAGGGCATGAGAAGGAGGGTGGATGACGATGATGTCTGGTGGGAATGGCGGATCGGTGATTGGATGACGGAGGTAGCGGAGGCGAGAGATGTTTGGAGGTGGTTAATTAGGGATCTGTAAGGAAGAACTGATTGGATCTTAGATGCGTCAATGAAGATAGGTGATCCACCGGCGGTGGGATTGAGGTTGCCGATTACGGTCGCCATTGACGAAAGAGATAACGAAGGTGAGGTGTTGGTATTGGTGAAAGTAGAATAAGGGGATTTGTTCAAGCTGTGGCATATGGTATCAAATTACTCTTTTAAGAGAATCTTCTTCCACATTTGTGGTTGATTTTTGGAGTCGTATGGAGCATCGATTCGATTTCTGTACAAAATCAAGATTTTAGTGATTCATAGCAAATATTTTGATCTTAACCGGAGTTCTATAAAAAGTGTTTGGATTAGTTTACAGCGGCACCAAAACGTAATAAGTTGATAAAGTTGTCTTTTTATAGTGTTTGACAAATTTTGCTTATAAATGTAAATGACTAAAAAAGACATGATGAATGAGGAACTGTGTTTGAAGGTCGTTTATGTAAGGAAGGATCCTAAACCCTTTTCAGAAAGTAATCCTAAGGAAGAATCCTAAAGCCTTTTCGATTTCTGTAGGAATTGGTTGAAGATCGAAGGTTTGATTTTGATTTCTGTAGGTGAAGGTCTCGATCGATTTCTGTTGATGGAGAAGAAATCATAGCAAGAAATTTGGTTCGACTTTTGGAAATAGTTTGATTTCTCAGGAATAGTCAAAGGTTCCTTGATGAACTACTTACTAGTTTTTGGTTAAAGGAATGAGGCGTACGAAGGTTAAAAAGGTAAATTGGTTTTCAAACCTGATAAATTGAATCTGATAAGTTAAAAAGGGAGTAACTTATCAAAAACTCTTTATTATCTGTTTGACACCGGTATAAACATCTTTTTTTCCCTCTCATCAAAACACTAAAAACTGTTTATTCTCAATACCACATCGTAATAAATCAATAAACAGTTTTCATAAGCAATTTCGAACACCCCTTAAGATAACGGAGAATTTTCTAAAAATAATTATTATAAAAATATAAATAATATTCTTAATATTTAATGTTTGAAATATATAAACAATATCTTATTAAATATATGAAATATTTTATAATATAATTAATATTGTAATATTAAAAAAAATAAGATGGAATTAATTGTAAAATTATAATTTATTTTTTTTAAGATTTTAATTTTTCATTTTTCATTTTAAAGACTTTTGAAGATTCATCCACCTTTCCATGCACTTGTATAAGTGCAAAAGTCAATCCGAAATTTATTTCTTTTTCTTGAATCTAGTTGTTATGTCGGTCCATGTATCTCTTGATTAATTTCATAAAATTCTAAAATTAATTTTCAGACAAATATTTTATTGATTCTGTATGGATATATAATTGATAACATCTGAAAAATAAATCTAAAATCTTACCAGTTGAGTAACTCTTAATATAATCATTAGTTTTTGGTGAAGGTATACCTTCCATTTCTTGAGCTCTAAACTCTACAAATGGTTTGATAAATCCAATGAAATTATGGAAGTCAAAATTTTCTTTGTAAATCTTTTAACAATAATCTCTATGCAAAGTAATTTAAGTATTAATTGAAATCTTTTTATACAACTGTATACTTTTGTTGAATACAGAGTGGAACACAAATGAACTTGATCAACAATAATAAAAGGGCCTAAGAAAATTATACATAAAATTTTAATGGACTGAAGATGTTTCACTATATTAGGTAAAAAGCCCATAACAAAGGCCTCTATGACCATCCGTCCCTGATTGAATATCTTGATTCAACAAAAGTTATGATATGGTTTTTATGTCCATATTTATTGCTAGATCATTTGGTTGGCATCTACAATGAAAATGTTAGTTTTGTATTAAAAAAATAATAATTATATCCATGTATGTAGTTAAGATTTTAGAAATTAAGTGATGTTTATCAAATGCTTATCCAAGTAGGTATTTATTTGTAAAAATCAACATTATTATTTATTTACCGGGTAAAATTTGAGTCCACAAAAACACTATCGTATGCAACAATTTATCTGGTAAGCGTTAATTCTAGTAAGAGTCGTCGGCCTCACTTACCGGACAAAACTATCGGTCTTTGCAACTCGCTTTTATTGGGTAAGATTTTTGGTATTTGCCAGATTTATCTGGTAAAATAATGTGATTTGGTAAGCATTTACCAGAATAAACATTTGATAAACGACCCCTAAGATTTGTCTGAAATTAAATAAAATACGACATAAATGTTTTTAATAATTTTGTAGGAAAAAGAATCAAGTTATTATTTCATTTGTCTAAAAATAATAATAATTTATGTTTGAACTTAAATATACGATGCATTTTTATGAAATTCATTTAATGGTTTATTTTACAAACCATGTAAATCTAACAAATTATGAAAACTAATCCTAACCATTTATTTATTTCTTCAACGCTTTTAATCTCAATCATTGATGAAACAAATGAGCGGTTAGGATTAGTTTGCATGGTTTGTAACCCAACTTTATATACCATCCGATACATGATGATTAATAGATATGTTGAGATTCACTGATCGTTTTAATTATTTAAAAGTAAAAGAATTGTATTTTTTTAACAGAAGATATTCGTAATTTATTTGCGTACTTGTGCAATGCAGAGATATAAGACTTTATTTTGAATTGATAAATAAAAAATTATTACAATTTCCAAAAAAGTTGAAATTTATCGGATATTGGTATTAACAAGATTTAACGTTAATCTTGTCTTTAATGCGTTTATCAGTTAATTTTATGAATTCAAAAGTAAAATTTTAAAAAGTTATTATACATATAGGATAATAAATTATGAGTTGGTTCTTGTGATAATAACGCTTTTATTCCCTAAAGTTTTGAAATTATAAGATGGTCACCATGATTTAAAAAGATGTCCAAATTTGGTCCCTTTCTCTGATGATCGTTAAAAAAAACTCCTTTATGTGAGGGTAATTTCATCTATTTCTTTGTTTTTTACCAATTAAAAACACATGAACCAAAATCATAAAAATCGATTTTGATAGGTTAAATGACAAAAAACCAATAAAATGACAAAACCCCCCTCTTATTTAACGAATTTTTTACAATCGTTAGAGAGAGGGATCAAACCCGAACATTTTTACAAACTGCATTGTAATAATATTTTTGACAAACCGTAGGGACCAAATTTGTGATTTAAGGGTCGTTTACTAAACACTTACCGGGTAAGCGTTTATGAATATCACTTACCTTATTGATTGAGCTTGTAAAAGACCAAGAGTCTTACCTTGTAAGTTAGAAAAAAAGTCTTACCCAATAAACATTTACCATGTTTTAGACGAGTACCAACAATCCATTTTGATGACAGATAACAAATATACAATAAGATATGAGAGCGACGTTTTTTGTCAATAAATGTTTGATAAACGACACCTTACGCTCTTATAACATGGCATCGGTTAAATAGAATAGAGTAAATTAGGGGTGAACATAGGCGGGTACCCGCCCTTTTTTACAGGAACCGGAACCGGAACCGGCGGTTCTTGAGATATTGGAACCGGAACCGGTTAGAGCGGTTCTTGAATTTTTGGAACCGGAACCGCGGGAACCAGTTCCGGTTCCGGGTACTCGCTTCCTAAAATATTAAAATTTTGTTATTTAGAAATAAAAAATAAAACATTGCCAAAACACTAAAATAAAATAAACAAGAATACAAATTAACGGAATAATGGTTACAAATATTGTTTAACGATTATAAATCATAATAGACTAATAGAAAATATTCAAAGTTTAATGATTACATACTATAATTGTAAATGTTCAAAACTTAACGATTACATACTATGAAGTGCAGTTTAGTAGAACTGGAAAGTTGATGAAGAATGAAGATGACCACTTCCTTTGAAGATGTAACATAATATACATTTGGTATTAAAAAAAATTAATTATTTTTTTGTTGAAAAACACTGGGTACCCGCCGGTTCCGGGTACCCGGTCCCGGAACCGGTCCTGGCGGGTAACGGTTCCGAAAAATTGAGAACCAGAACCGTTCTCAATCGGTTCCGTATTTTAGGAACCGGAACCGGAACCACTCATATCGGTTCAGGTTCCGGAACCAGCGGTTCCAAGGCGGTTCCGGTTCCGCAAACGGGTACCCGATTCCGCTGCTCACCCCTAGAGTAAATTAATATTTTCGTCCCTATGGTTCGTAAAAAATTGTGATTTTCATCCATGTGGATTAAAAAAAGTGGTTTTCGTTCTTATAATTTGTAATTCATTGTAATTTCCGTTTTTATGATTTATAATTTATTGTTGTTTCGCTCCTTGTGGTTTATAATTCATTACTATTTTGATTGTAATTAGTCTAGGGACAAAAAAATAATAAATTGGAAACTACAGGGACAAAAACCATAATTTCTAAACTATAAGGGCCATAATCAAATCATTAACAAATTACAGGGATGAAAAGTGTAATTTAGTCGATAGAATATTATATCATTTTCAAGACGTACAATATCTTTTTACATTATTAAAACTTCAAGAAATCAACAGCCACTTGACGCAGTTGACTTGGCGGGGAAGCGAATGTTTTCCGGTGGTCGGTTGTTTCAAACAAAGCCACATAAATTTCACTTCCTTTTTTCACCTTTCCAACCGCCATTGTAGAACTACTCACATGGTATCACTCAATCCGAATCCACACGAAGGCTTCTACTCTGATTCGTCCGCCATGGTTATGGCCTCCTTTTCCGCTCCCGCAGTCGTCGTTGTTCCGCCCTCCGTTAACTCCTCGTCTGCCGATGACGCTTCCAAGAAGATCAGGAAACCCTACACCATTACTAAGTCCAGGGAGAGCTGGACCGATCCGGAGCATGATAAGTTCCTAGAAGCCCTCCAACTGTGAGTTTCTATACGCTGATTACTTGAATTTTGAGTTTATTCATTGTGTTATAACTCTAGGGTTTCGTTCCCGTTCCACAATTGGAGTTTATTTCTAGACTTCGCAATGGCTGATAATTGTAAGTTGTAAACATAGGGACGTTGTGTTAATTGGCAGTAATCTGGACTCTTGTGTTCCCAAGTGAATCTGATCGTGGAACAACAGTGTTAAAGGATTTGTTACGTTGATGTCCTTGTTGATTGTTTCGTTTCATGTTTAATGAACGTTGTACGTCATAGGAGTTCAATTGATTGTTTTAATTTCCATGTTTTTTACGTTTTTCTGCTGAGTTTTTTTGGCAATCATGAACAGAATGTGATTTGTTAAACCTGAGCAGCTAAATAATTTCTTTGAATAAACCGACAAGATGATAGGGATATCAAGTCGTACTTAAGCTAGAATGGTCTGCCTTGCTCATATCTACTGAAGTTAGGCTGTAAGTGTTATAGTTTGAAGATGTTTCTTGCTTGTGTTTCAATCAATATCATTATTCAGTAGGTCATACAAAATAGCAAATGAGTTAACCTAGGAATCAACGAAGATGGGACTTGCAATCTTGCTATTACAACTTACAAGGATGATGGCACTTTAGGTCCCATTTTTTCTATATTGGAAGGTTTCCCTGAACCTGAACTTAAGTTTTCTTAAATGGAAACCTACATCTTTTGATTCTCGATGTCACTTGTTGGAAAGAATCAAATCTTTATAATGGTTTTGACATCTTCAAAACTATTTGAATATGGGGAGGTCTGGAAGAAACACTGCTTGCATCAACGGTAGGAGAGCAGAGGGCAAGGCCGGCGGGTGAGCTGGAAACAACCAGTGGGGATAATCACGCCTGTCTGTAGAAGAGGCGCTAGGAGGAAGGCCCTTTGCTTGGGCCAAAGGCGCTGGTGACCAGAGACATGACTAACAGGGTGCCAAGAGGGAGAGGAACCAACAGGTAGAGGAGGTGTTTGGTGGTGATGACAATGCCACTCGACAAAGGTCGGGAAATAGTAAGCGAGTGGCACAGCTGCAATTTTTGGCCTATGGATAGATCTGGTATGAAACGTAAACGTATTAAGCAAGAGATCAGAATTGGAGGCATTCAGCTCAATCCTCCCATCATGGATACTCACGGAGCACGGTTTGGGATTGACTTGGGAGTTCTTCTATGAGTCACATGCTAGGGGAATACAAGGAGAAATTGGGACCCTGGAATCAATAGTGATTGATTGGGGAAGCTAGTTGGATCCTTATCTTGAGGACAAGGTGTTTTTAGGGGAGAAGTGATGTAGACACACAACGGGTTTACATTAGTGTTTTCTTTTATTTCAGTGTCGTGTTGGGTTATATCACAAGGCCAGGGCCTAGGAGGGGGCACGGTAATTCTTTCATATGAGAAACTGTTTATTAGTTAGTGTCCATCCTAGTAGGGTCCCACAGTAAGGCCTGGGGTAGCGAGCAAGTGAATGATTGAGGTCTGTTATGGATCCCTGAATGCTTAATTAAAAGTTTCCCCACATATAATTGGGGACTCTAGTTAATAGATCATCTTCAAAGTGATTAGTTACCTGATTGTGTTTGATCCTTTGATTTTCAGTTTTGATCGTGACTGGAAGAAAATTGAAGCTTTTATAGGCTCAAAGACCGTCATTCAGGTACATAACGTGCAATTTCCTTACCTCAGGAGTTTGTTTATTTTCTCTTGCAATTAGTTTCACTTTTTTACGAGAAAAAATCATGTTCAAGGATACATCATATTTATGTGATAACTAATGAATAAGTGTATGTAACAAATGGAAAACTACCTATGCAGATTCGTAGTCATGCACAGAAGTACTTTCTGAAGGTCCAAAAAAGTGGTATTAACGAACATCTGCCCCCTCCTCGTCCTAAAAGGAAAGCTGCTCATCCATATCCGCAAAAGGCTGCAAGAAATGGTGAGCGTGAGACAATGGTATGGCTTTCACTAGTTCTAATATTTAAACTGACAAGAGTTGCAATATATGACAGCTCCGGCGATCTCGCAAGTTACAGCATCTTTCAAAACCTCACCTGCTCTTAGTGAACCTGGATATGTACGAGGGACCAATCCTTGTACACTAGTGATGAATCCTGTATCAGATGCAGCTGTTTGTTCTCGAACCCATAACTCCATGGATTTTGGTAGTTTACCTCGTATGGCTAAAGGTGTGCAATCCACATGGGTGATATGCTTTATTTTGATGCAGCATGTAACTGTTTGTTAATTGATCGTGTCTTGATCTTGCTATTTACTATCATGACATTTGTTCACTACAGATGATAGGACACCCGGAGGCCAACCAGCAGCTACTAACTGTTGCAGCAGTAATGAAAGTGGCCTCAAAACACGACCCACAAGTGAAACACATGAACAAAGGACACATGGGCTTCCATTGAGAGGTAATTTATGGATTTTGATTTGCTTACTTATGTATAGTCCTCTACCCCTTGACCATAAGAGAATGCATGGATTCAATATATGGTCTTTGCTGTGAATGGTATATTAGAGCATCTCCAACATATTCTCCAAAATGAAGAATGAAACTTCAAAATCTGTAAAACAAAAATACATCCAATTCCAACAGATTCTTCATTTTGAAGAATATAATGTTGATTATATTAATAAAATATTCCTTTCATTTAATGAAATATTATTTCTCTCCATAAATATTTATTTTCAAAGTTTCCTACTGGTGGAAATATATTAAATAATATTTCTCTCATTGTTTTCCGGGGTCTTCTCCAAGTTTGGAGATTTTTACACTCTCTTCTATTTTCTCCATTTCGGAGAAAGGTTTTGGAGAATTTGTTGGACCAAAAAACATGCCCAAAATCTCTATTTTCTCCTTTTAGGAATATCTGCTGGAGATGCTCTTATACTTTCATCATGTTCAAACCAGATTATACTTCTGTTCTTCTTTTGTGATGGGGTTTACCTAGACAGATGCTTTTACATTTTTGTACAGATCATATTTTATTCTTTTACTTAAGATGAACATTGTATATTGGAAAGGCTATGGTCTCATTTTGTTTGTATGATACAAGTATTTGACATGGGGGACACAGGAAACAGGTTTCAATAAATAATTTTAACAATAGTAATGAACTAATGGCAATGATGATGGTGATGATGATGCTTATATATACAACTAGTCATGATACATCTTGATTTTAATATTTTATTTTATTTTATATCTTAGTCGATGTTATGGTATGATTTTATTTTTGAATAAAATATAAATTTGAAGATATCATAAAATTTTGACAAAAATATATCGATATTAGTATCAAATTAACTATTTAAAATTCCTATTTTTTGTGTAATTTTTTAATTCAAATTTTTATTATAATTTAATTTAGGTTCGATAACAAAGCAATTTATAATTTGGTTTAATAATATAATTTTCTTCTAAAGATAATAACTATTATTTTGTTAGAACTCGATAATTATCCTAATTATATTTTAGATTTTTATATTTCAAAATGAGAATTTTTATTCTCTAGTTTGATTATATTTATCCGCAGTTAGTTACACGAATTCAAACATTGAGCTTTAATAAGTTGTAATTATGCATAATTACCTGTAATCTTGAATTTTAAATAATATGCATTAATATACAATACTTTATGCATAAAAAATGGTTTTTAAGATTTTCTGTTAAATGCTTTATAATATAGTATAGATAACATAGTGAGTCATTTAAACTGTTGATGGTAGCTGGTGGTATAGACTGGATCCTGCATTTACTATTCAACCATCCACTAACATCTATTTTACTTCCAGGTTCTAACCCCAAAATTTATGTTCTTTTTCCTCATCGGTGCAGTTCTGCCCGACTTTGCTCAAGTATATGGCTTTATTGGTAGTGTCTTTGATCCGAGTACCAGTGGTCACTTGCAGAAACTCAAGAAGATGGACCCTATTGATGTTGAAACGGTACACTATGTAACCTTCTCGCTTTGATCACCAAATCCTATCAATCGAATAACTTCTTCAAGAAATACAATTGTACAAGTGACTTAAACATTTCGACTAGAATCATTTCATGTAACAAGATAGAAAATGGGACTTGTGACCTCTTTATAAGCCTCAAGTTGTGGGCTACCAATAACTTCCATTATGGTTTTAAGTTGGATCTGAAGTTATGGGGTCAATTCATTGTTTTGGGCTTTGGGTGTTACATCTCATAGGCATTGTTATTGATTTGGCCTTCTTTTTCCTTTTTCAGGTATTGCTGCTAATGAGAAACCTATCCATCAATTTGAGCAGTCCTGATTTTGAGGATCATGTAAGAGTGCCTTAACTTAATTTGACAACATAGACTAAATTGGAGACGGTCTTTTATTAATTGTGGAGAAGGGTGTTGTTGAATTGTTCGTTTTGTGATGATGAATGCAGAGACAGTTGTTGTCAACGTATGAGGTTGATTCGGAGAAAGAGAACTCGGATGATGTGATCGACACTCTTCTCGACTGTCAATCTGGACAAGATTTTAGTCACCTTGGGTAAGGGATACTAATCTAATATTGGTTATCATGTACGTTTGTACAGTGGCGGACCCAGGAATCTCTCTGAATGGGTCCACCTTTAAGGTGGATCAAAGGCCGACCATGATCGAAAAGATTGAAAACCTCAATCATTCACAACCGTTGATGAAGGATTCCTCAAAAATGGTTTGATTAGGGGGAAAAGTCATCGTGGTGATTTGAGGAATAAAATCCATTTTCTCAATTGGATCTTCAAAATATCAGAGAATGCAATGATTTTTAAGATGAATCGGTGTTATAAAAGATAATAAATCATGAAGAAGAGTCAAAATAGGTGAAAAATTAACAAAAAAAAATACTTTAATTGTATGTACTATTTTCAGAAGTAACATTGTAGATCGTGGGTTAGTCCTGGAACCTAAAATTAAAAGAGAAATGAATTTTCGCTTGAAATAAGATTTGAACCTGTGACCTACTCCATGTGAAGTGCTTTTAATTTATATTATAAATCTTGTTTCAAAGTATTTAAGAGGGCCCCTTAAAAGTCAAGTGAGCGGGTGTATGGGAACCCCCTCCCCTCTTAATAGGTGCATCCCTGCGTATGTGTTTTTGAGTAATGATACTGATGGGATGTAATGAAATGGCAGGACGTAAAAAGAGGAAGGAGTGAGGCATGACGTTTTAACTTGACTTTTAAGTATACAACTCATTATGTTGGCCCCTGCTTCTGCTGATATGGAAGTGTTCCGGGGGAAGGGATGAAGAGGAAGAAAAATCTATGATGATGTAACATGTAAAGGCTAGCTAGCTAATGTATGCATGCATGATGTATGTATGTATGTATGTATATATGTATGTATGTATGAATTTATATGTGGTGTGAGTGAATGTTTTCACATTTTTCAAATGGATGCATGCATCCTGGTTTACCAGTTTCTGTAAGGTCCTAATGAAGCTTAAACATGTAACATAGTTTTTTGAATATGTTTTGATTGTTATTTAGATATTTAAAAAGAATACGTGAATACGTTTGACTGTCGTTTTCAGCCTGTATAATCAAACGAGTTGTATCTATTAAGTCACGGCCTACACACTAGTTAATGGAGATAAGTTCTATTCAATCTGGTTTGAACGGGCACTCCATGCATCTTGAGAAACAACAGGTTCATATCTGCATTCTTCTCTAATAGTCTCTTTGGTTTGTTTGAGGGAATTGATTGGGATTATGTACAAGAATTCAAAATCAAAAGATTTGAATTTTTTTTTGATGTGTGGTTTGTAGAAATTAAATTATCTTCTGTCTTTATGAATAATTTAGGGAAACAAATTATGAAGTTCTTTTATCAAAATATTAAAACTACTTGATTATTATAAAAAATTATTTTCAACATATTTTAAAAAATTATGACATACAACTTTTACGAGATCTGATCTGTGAAGCATCAATCACAACTACTTTATCCAAGAAATCAATTCCAAGTCCCCTCAAAGTTATGGGACATAAGTCATTGACCGAGACCACATAAGTAGAGCATTAGCGCAATTTATCACTGTAGTCGTTTATGCTAGACTCCAATTAGATGCTTTTCCCTTTGCTGATTATGAGAAGAACATCAAATGTAACAAGAAACAAGAAAATAAGAAAGAACCGCACCAACAAAACCTTATAAGCAATAAAGATCTTTAAACCAAAATCAAGACGCAACAAAAACCGGATTATGCACTTTGACACCCCATTATAGACCCAAAACCACTTGAAAACACGAAAATAGACCCCAACTGTTCAAACAACTCACTCTATGCACCTACCACAACCCAACAAACCTCTAATCAACTTCCTCCATCTTGCTTTCCTCGACATCCTCTTCCTCCAAAGTAGGCATTTCAGCATCCTCACCACCTTCTTCCTCATCAATGCTCAGACCCAACTTCAACATTCTGTGAATCCTCCCTCCAAATGTGTTGGGATCCTCCAAGCTGAATCCAGACGTCAGCAGAGCAGTTTCAAACAGCAGCAGCACCAAATCCTTCACAGACTTGTCATTCTTGTCAGCCTCAGCTCTCTTCCTCAGCTCCTCCATGATGGGGTTATCAGGGTTTATCTCCATGGTCTTCTTGCTCGACATGTATGACCCCATGCTACTGTCCCTAAGAGCCTGTGCCTTCATTATCCGCTCCATGTTAGCCGTCCACCCATATTCTCCGGTCACCAAACAGCAAGGGGAGTCCACAATTCTATCAGAAACAACTACTTTCTCCACCTTATCTCCCAATATCTCTTTAATTGTCTTGCAAAGATTCTCAAATGACTTCTTCTTCTCTTCCTTCTTTTGCTTCTCTTCCTCTGTTTCGTCTTCAAGTTTTAGTCCCTCCTTAGTGGCAGACACAAGCTTCTTCCCATCATATTCCTTCAGCTGTCCAACTGCATACTCATCAATAGCGTCCACCATGAACAGTACTTCATATCCTTTCTTCTTAAGCCTCTCCAGGAATGGGGAGTTCTCAACCGCCTTCCTGCTCTCACCAGTGATGTAGTAAATATCCTTTTGGTTCTCCTTCATACGGGTAACATAGTCTTTCAAGCTGGTCAATTCATCCCCACTCTTGGTTGAATGGTATCGGAGCAGATCTGCCAACTTGCTCCTGTTCTGGCTGTCCTCATGGATACCCAGTTTCAGATTCTTGGAGAAGGCTTCATAGAATTTGTTGTAATCGTCCTTGTTCTCTGCAATCTCATTGAACATTTCGATGCATTTCTTCACAAGATTCTTCCGGATAACTTTAAGAATCTTGTTCTGCTGAAGCATCTCACGAGAGATGTTGAGAGGCAAGTCATCGGAGTCCACAACACCCTTCACGAACCCAAGATACTCAGGAATGAGCTCTTCACAGTTGTCCATAATGAAGACCCTCCTAACATATAACTTGATGTTGTTCATCTTCTTACGAGTGTCAAACAAGTCAAATGGGGCCCGCTTGGGCACAAAGAGGATCGCCTTAAACTCAAGTTGTCCTTCAACAGAGAAGTGTTTTACTGCGAGATGATCCTCCCAGTCGTTAGTCAAGCTCTTGTAGAAAGAAGCATACTCTTCCTTGGTGATCTCCTCTGGCTTGCGCAGCCAGATTGGTTTCTGCTTGTTAATAAGTTGCCACTCATGAGATACCTCCTTGATCTTTTTCTTCTTGCCCTTCTCCTTCTCTTTCTCTTCATCAACCTCCTCAATGTCACCTTCTTCTTCCTTTTTAGGCTCCTCATCTTCATCATCACTTATCTCCTTCTCAGTTGTCTTTTCAGTCCATAGATAGATAGGATAGCTAATAAACTCGGAATGTTTCTTCACCAGGTCCTTAATTCTCCTCTCTTCCAGGTACTCCAACTGAACAAGTAACAAGAAGCAAATTATTAACCAGTCACCATTATTTAGAAAACCCATAACAAATAAGTAACAAAAGACCGGGAGAATAACTGAATTAGAAATTCACCAAACTATTTGCAACTATCATCATTTAGAAAATCCACCATAAAGAGTTTCAACCAAATTAGACATTTACCTGGTCCTCTTTGAGGAAGAGGGTCATCTTGGTTCCTCTACCAAGTGGCTCCCCATTAACATCCTTAGTAACCGTGAATGAACCACCAGCTTGCGACTCCCAGATGTACTGCTCATCATCGTTGTGTTTTGTAGTAACGATGACTTTTTCAGCAACTAGATAGGCTGAATAGAAACCTACACCAAACTGCCCAATCATGCTTACATCGGCCCCAGCCTGCAGTGCCTCCATGAATTCCTTGGTACCAGATCTAGCAATTGTCCCCAAGTTGTTCACCAAATCTACATAGCAACAGAGCACATTTAGACTCTACATACGAGATCTCTCTGTTCTGTATGCAATTCATGTTTCTTCGAATGTACTTGTTCAGATAATAACGGATCAAATATTGTTCACACAAACAGGTAACAAATTCAAAACGCTAAAATATACGTTGTCGTCAAATGGACGGCAAGGCTACGGTTCTTCCTCCTAAATATACTCCGAAAAATAGAAAATGAAAGAAACTAGCAAAAGCAAATCACTCTCATATCATTACAGCCAATAGATGTATAGAACTAGCAAAGCATATACCATAATCGAAAACAGATAACGAAGTTAACCGTCGCACATACAATTCATTGGTTAAATTTTAACAAATTAATGAAACAAAACCACTAATTAACTCTACTACTGGCGAAATCCACGATAAAACGATAAAAGGCGACACGATTCACCCAATGGATATTGAAAAACGAATACAACTACTTACCTGCTTTTGTCATTCCAACACCGCTATCAATGATCGACAAGGTCTTGTTAACCTTATCAGGAACAATCCGGATGAATAGCTCGGGTTGAGCATCGAGTTTGCTCTTGTCAGTCAAGCTCTCGAAACGGATTTTATCCAACGCATCAGAAGAATTGCTAATTAGTTCTCGAAGAAAGATCTCCTTGTTGCTGTAGAAGGTGTTGATGATCAAACTTAGCAACTGGTTGATCTCAGCCTGGAAGGCGAACGTCTCGGCATCAGCCATCTGTCCCTCCGCCATTGCAACCGCTTAACACACGAAAACGATGAAAGATTGCTGAAGATTTAGAGCCAATGCGACATGTAAAAGAGAAAATTGCGTAAGATGAATTTGCAGAACTGAGGTTATGGATTTTTATAGGGAGGAAGGTGGTGGGGGTGTGGGTTCTAGCTGCTTCTACGGAACCTGAGGTTTGGAGTGAGGTTCGGATCTGTTCTGGATGCTTCTACGATTCTCTGGAATTGCGTTTGCCGCTCATAATTTCGACAATCAGTTTTACTATTATACGGTGTCGTTGCTATTTGCTACAATATTCTAGTATCTACTACTTATCATTAAAAAAAAGGTAAGTGAAATTAATTAATAAGCATAACTATCTACACTATAAGTATTTGATAAAAAAATTTTAAAAATTAATTTTTATATAAAATATTGTTTATTATTGTTTATTAATTAAAATTCAAGATTATATATAAATGATGCATAAATACAATTTATCAAAGTTTATGTTTGAATTTGTGTAACTAATTACAAATAAATATAATCAAAATACTGGATAAACATTTTATTTTAAATATAAAAAATCTAAAATATAATTAAGATAGTCGTTATGTTATAACATAATACTTAATTATTATTTTTAGGTTCAAATCTTACAGAGCGTGATTCAGATCTTCTTCAATCGAATTCGGCTGAATAAATAAATAAGCTTAACACAAAAGCAGAAAAAAGGCCAAAAATAGGTTTTGAATCTTTGGCTAGTTATCATTATAATAGATCCAATTTTTTGGTTATATTATTAAATAAAAAATAAATTATTTCGTTATTAAACTTAAATTAAATTATAATAATTTTTTTTGAATTAAATAAATTACACAACAAAATAAAAAATTTTGAATAGTTAATTTAATACTAATATCGGTATATATTTTTTCAAATTTTAAGATATCTTCAAATTTATATTTTTATTAAAAAATAAAAAATAATATCGTTTTTCTTAAAACCGTATTATCAGGGGCGGAACACAAACTTTCAAACCGTAGGGGCCGGACCTAATATATTATATATTTTAAAGGGACCAAAAATACACTGTCAAGGAAAACATTCAAGGTGGTTACAGAATATATGGTTTAGTAAAACCAGACAAATGTAACCCACTTGGGAGAACACAACAGGAAGTGAATACCTTTTCACCTGTGGCTTGTCGAACTAAGCTTGGGTCATCAGTAAAACACTCAAAGAGAAGTGAGGATACAACATGTAATCTGGGATATATTAGAGATGGTAAGCAAGTCGATGTCCCTCATAAAAGAAAATTGCGTGATTTAGATACAAAATTGAGGAAGAGAACTAAATGTCCTAGTTCAGATTCTTGTGAGTTAAAAGAGGCTACAAAGAAGGAATTGTTCCAAAAATGGCCAGGTCATCTAGTTCCAAATACAGTTGCTTTGTTAACAAATTCTGGACTTTCGTGTTTTGGGACAAATATACTTGGTTTAACTTAAGAAGCAACTGACATTTAAATGCAGAACAAAACACTGAAAGAGAAAACTACAAAACATCTGATACAGGCATGAGTTCTATTTATAAGAAGACATGTTAAATACCTTGAACCCGGAAAAAGTGGACGAAGGGTAAATAATTAGGCCATGATTGCACCCATTGCCCATAAATATGTGATTGAAATGAAATTAACAAGTTACATCCCACAAACATAGTTATACGCTTGATAAAATAAGACTATGAAAAGAATAAAGAGACAAAGTTTTAGTGAATATGACAAGACATGGGGTGAAAGAACAAGACTTAGGGTGAAAAATAAGGTGCTATAGAGGCAAGAAACAGTATACATTGCCTGATCCAATTACAGTCTAAGGTCCTCTTACATCAACATTGTCTCCACTGCAACCCCTGGCCCCCTTTCTTGCCAATAAGCCAAAGAATGAAAGAAACACAGCCAAGTTGCAATTGCAAGACAGCAAGTCAGCAAAGCAACAATTCAACAAATCAGTAAATAAATCACCACATTAACTCATTAAGTCATACATTCAGACCTAATATTAATAATCACCTAAATCAGTAAATCACCACATTAAGTCATAAATTTAGACCTAATATTCAACAAATAGGCTGTTGGGTTTTTATTTCAAAAGAAAAGGAAAAGATGCAGCAGTGAGCAGTAAACAGTTGCAGCAGAACTTACCGAGTTGGAGTTACCTCTCCGTGCCTCCGTCACCCGCCGACCGCCGAGACAGGCAGACCGCAGACGGCAGACAGCCGACGCCGAGTGCCACCTCCTCCTGCTGGTTCCCTCTGCGCTACTCCGCTTCCGTCGCTCTCACACGCACAGACGCACAGTCGGCCAGTCCAGTCGCTCTTCTCGCTCGGCCTCGTCGCTATGGAGATTGGAGGGGGAATGGAGGGAGGGGCCGGTTGAAATTTTTTTGTATTTTACAATAGCATAGAGAAACTACTAAGCCTACTTACAAAAAAAATCACAGGGGCCAGGGCCCCTATAGGCCCATTAGGCGGTCCGCCCCTGCGTATTATAACATTGACATGGGATAAAATAAAACGAAACATTAAAATCGAGATGTATCTCGGTATATTGCGCTAGTATCCTTCTAGTATATATATACACATACACACATACAAGGGACTTTTTTGAAATTGGTGAAATTGTGATGATTTTAAGAATTTGTATATTATATGTTATGTCGTATTAATTTTTTCATTTATGATTTAGAATATTGGTTGATATATATTTCTTTCACAGTATGATTTTTTTTTGACGCGTTTATGATACAAAAAGTACACGTAAAAAAGTTTCACATTATCAGTCAAATACATATAAAACAAGATAACAAATATATATTGATCAATAAACTATATATAATACTTAAGTGTTTTAATAGAGCAATTAATGCATTTACCCAATTTAATATCGTATAAGAAACAATGTATAAAATAAATTTTAATGAGAACATTGTATAAATGTAAAGACTTGTAAAACAATATGAAAGCGTTGTTCATAAAGACTTGCTTCTTATAATATTCTCAAGCTCCATAGTCAAAGATTATTATCAAAGAACTATTAATTGTCGATAGTCCAGTAATATAATTATAGATTACATAGATAAAATTAATAGTTTCACAGGTATTAACGGTCTCAAGTAGCCAAATCAACGTAACTCATATAGTACTTAAATGACAAAAATGCAAAGATGCGTCACATGCTTTCGTAAAACAACTTTATCAGTCAGAGGTGCACACTGACCAGGTCTTAAAAAGTCCGGTCCTTTTATTGAAGAAAATACCGGGCAAGGCCTTAACCGGTCATTAACCAAAAAATTAGATTTCATCACCGTCTTCTCCATTCAAATTTCTTATTTAAATATGGATATGAATGAGGGGGGAAGAGGGTTGTGTTTAGAGATACAAAAACCCGAAAGATGATGATAGCAATGGTCTTGATTTGAACGGGTTTAGGGTAAAGTTGTTTATGGGCGGGACGACCCGTTAGACCTGGTCCATCCGACCTGTTAGAAATATGGGCTTGAACAACTATTATCGAGAAAATGGACGGACTCGAGTTTGTTCGTTAAAATTTACAATCGGACATGAACAATGTAAAAATAAATATGAACAGTCTCGTTCAACCTGTTGATATTTTATAATTAATATTTTTTTACTATTAATTAAAATTATACTTGTATATTTTTAAAATTAAATTATTAAAGTTATAAAATGGGACTATTTGGCTAAAGAATTATGGATGTTTTTTATCAAAACTTGGGACGTTTGAAATTGACAGTAGCATGATAGAGCCATGAAAATATGAATATTAATATTATACAAAAAAAACAGGGATGAATTATTGATTTTATGAAAGTTTGAATTTTGTTTTTCATTTATTTCTCCAGTTGTTGAGATCCATGTATCACTTCAGTTACTTAAATTTTAAATTGTAATGATGTTTTTTCTTTAGTTTTGATTTCACATTTGTTAATTAATTGTTAGTAATCAAGTTTATAAATTTATAAGAGATACACGTTTTAGGCTCGTTAGCCCGTGAGCAAGCCCAACCCGTTTATAAGATGAACAATAAGTTAGGTTTAAGTTTATAATATTAGACCCGTTGACAAAAAAAAAATAAGTTAGGTCCTGTTCGGAATCTGCAAATGATCACCTCTAGTTTAGGGGTAGGGATGAAATTGAACGGGTTTAGGGATATGGATTTGGTTCAACGTGCTCAGAGATATACATTGACAGATGATAGCAATTGAAGAAAAAAAATAAGCTAATGGATACTCCTGTTTTTCCGTCACTCATGGCGGTGAAGTTTGTTACGCCTTTCAGGACTTGAAATTAAAGAGTCAACACCAACACAATCATTGGCCTGACTCTCAAATTCCAGATGATCTTGTAAACCCTAATTTCACAAATGTCGATTCATGTATCATCGTTTACTCACCATCTCTCAGATCCAACACGATTCTTCGGCCTCAGAATTTGGATGACAGTCGTAATCTGCGTCGTGTTACTAATCGTCACTCTCTTCTTCGTCTCTCTCTGCTCCTCGTCCTGTCGCCGGCGGCGGCGGAGGAGGAAAAATTCCGATAAAAATTACTGTTTAGGCTCCCGCCGGATGATGGACAGAAGATTGCTGCCACAAAAGGAACCTGAACATCATGCGGTTTACTCCGATCAGAGCCATTGTTCTAGAAGCAAATTCCACCTGGTAGATATGCCGCCGGCGGTGATTGGTGGTGCAGGGCGGTGCAAACAGTATAGTGCAAACGAAATTCAGTTAGCAACCGACGGTTTTAGCCATGGGAATATGATTGGAAGTGTAGAGCATCGAGTGGTTTATCGAGGGGATGAAAGGGTTGCCGTGCATGTATTAATAAACACGAGGTTTGGATTTTCTTCATTTATTTTCTTTTATTTTTTTAATTAAAATTAAAGCGGGAACAAATTTACTCAAATACACAACATGTTAAAGTTTGCATTATATGCTAAACTTGACTGTCGAGTCAACTTTGAAATGCCACCCTACATGTCAGCAGCGGACTCGTATTGAATAATACGGTGGCCGCAGGTGTCACCGTATCATGGTTTTGTCCTAAGCGGGAAATTTACGTTTTTGAATGATATCATCGTATTGTTTTGTTGGGTGTTATTATATAGTTTTTAAAATTGAAATGTTGATCCAATACTTTAAATCTTTAATAGTTAAGATTGTAAATGCTCACGTCTTTGTACAAAAAACCCATGTTCGAGTGCCACTGCTCTCAAATTTGTTTTCTCAGTTCAAATATTTATGTTTTTATATACCTCGTCTTTTTTAAAGTAAAAGGATATTTGCGCAATGCAGCGAGATATATCTTGATTTGAATATTTTATTTGAATATTTATCTCAGTCGAAGTTATATCATGGTCTTATGTGATTTTGAAAAGAAAAAAAAAACGATTATTTTTTATTTTAGAATAAAATATAAACTTGAAGATATCATAAAAATTTGACAAAAATATATCGATATTAGTATCAGATTAACTATTTAAAATTCCTATCTTTTGTGTAATTTTTTAATTCAATTTTTTGAATAATAATTTAATTTAGGTTCAATAATGAAGCAATTTATATTTGGTTTAATAATATAATTTTCTTATAAAAATAATAATTAATTATTTTGCTAGAACTCGATAATTATCCTAATTATATTTTAGATTTTTTAATTTTAAAATAAAATGTTTATCCTCTATTTGATTATGTTTATCTGCAGTTAGTTACACAAATTCAAACATGGAGCTTTAATTAATTGTACTTATGCACAATTTACTTATAATTTTGAATTTTAAGTAATATGCATTAATATACAATACTTCATGCATAAAAAATGGTTTTTAAGAGTTTTTATCAAATGCTTTATAATATAATATATATATATATATATATATATATATATCGGACTTGAACATGAGTCTAAACTATGCAAATATAAGAAACCAACCAATAGATTTATACTGATATTGTTAGGAAAAAAAAATCATAGTCAAATTATGTCATCAAGTTAACTCCACCTCTCCTATATATGGTTTTGATGGGTCGATGTTACTACTAATAAATTTTCTAATAAAAAAAGTATATTAAATTACCAGTTGATTTATATTTTTTAATTTCCAAATATTGTAACTTTTTTATTTTTAACATATGATTGTTTGTTTTATTAGTCGTACGATTAAGGAATTTATGGAAGATGTGGAGGCCATTTGGGGAATTAGACACAACAACTTGGTGAAATTGATTGGAAGTTCCATTGATAGAAGTAAAAGGTACAATAGTAGTTTATATATGGTTTTAATTAAGTTTATTAAACGACAAAAAATGGTTATTTACTGTATCTTTAATTTTAGTACGTTGATATACGAATACGTCGACAATGGCAACCTGCATCAATGGCTTCATCAATGTGCGGCAAGAACCAGTCCTTTAACTTGGGACATTCGAATGGGCATTATACTCGGAATCACGAAAGGGTACGTGTTCTTCTTTATAACATCGTTAAGTGGTACTGAATTTTATCTTGATTACTGTTGCTACATTGCAGATTGGCCTACCTACATGAGGATAGTGAACCCAAAGTCGTACATCAACGTTTGAAGTCCAGTAGTATACTTCTTGACCATCAGTGGAATCCTAAGATATCAGATATCGGTATCACCAAGCTCCTAGGTCTCGAACAGAATCTATTTGTATCTCGTAACGTTATTGGAATGTCGGGGTGAGTTCATTCCCCTTCAGATTTCATTCCGTCATGTTTTGATATGATATTTTTGTTCGCAAACGTGTTTTAAGATTGCTATTCAACTTTTGCAGTTATCTTGATCCAGAATACGTTTCCACTCACAATTTTAGTGAGAAGAGTGACGTTTATAGCTACGGGGTTCTTGTAATGGAGATTATATCAGGAAGAACCCCTGTAATATATGCTGAATTAAATAAAAAGGTTGGGTTATTTTAATATTATTATTATTTTCAAAATTTTCACAAATATATATATATATATATATATATATATATATATATATGGTCGATGATGGATCTTGTAATTATAGGAATATTTGGTAGATTGGCTGAAACTGATGGTTAGCAATCAACGATTTGATGATATAGTGGATGACAGACTACAAGAACCACCATCGATAAAAGAACTCAAGAGAATCATATTGATTGCTCTTCGATGTGTGGATCCGGTCATCGAAAACAGACCTACTATGGGAGAAGTTATTCACATGCTCGAACCACGAGACTTACTTCTGGATGACGTAAGCAACATTTTCTTTTTTTTCTATTACTAGCGGTAATTTTCTTGAAGCATAATATATATATATATATATATATATATATATATATATATAATGGGTTGGGTTCACGTGAGACCAAGGTTTTTCGTGAAACCTGTAAGACCAATTTATGTTCATTGATCAACTTTATAAGCTAATGGTCTAAAGTTGCACGGTGACAATTTTGTGATTATTGAGAAGTCTCATGGCGTTTATGAATGTTCAGATTGTCATATTGTAGATCTAATCCAAGGATTGAGAATTGGTCTTACGGGTCTCACGAAAAACCTTTGGTCTTACATGATCGCAAGTCTATATATAATACTTACATTATTGTATATTTATGCAGGATTATGTTATGGTCTGATAGACGACCTCCCACATTGTGGATTTCATTAAGGTATTAAAAATGTCATAATTAAACTCATAACCTTCAAGTTTCACCATCTTTGTTTTTACTAATTTCTATTTATATAAGACGGATTTGTGAGAAATGGTTGCAACTTTGCTACGGTGATTTAAATTTTATAGTTTATTAGGTATTATTTAGTGATTCAACAAGACTGTAGGCTTATGTTGACGAGCATAACAATTCAAACGGGGTTTTATTTTCATTTAATATATGTTGTTGTTCTAAGTCGGGATTTTCATCTCTTTAGAATTAGAACAGTCTGTATGGACGATGTAATGGAAACTAGATAAAGAAAATACATCATGATGATATCCACTTCCCAAAACGATTAAAAGATTCCCACACAAACACATCATGCTCTAATTCATCAAGAAACTGCATTGTACTGCACTGATTCCTCTTTGATCGGTTTGGTAAACATGAGAACCGAAGAGAGAAAGTGAAACGGTATGTGATAGAAGGTTTTGTTGGCAATCTTGGGTGAATACGAGAGACGGTGATAGTAATGGGTAATGGTAAAAGTAACACTCTATTAGATAAAAATAGTTTGAATCTAAGACCCGATGTGCTCTTTTTTGGGCCAATAAGGACGTGTCCTTTTACGACCAATTAAGACCAAGTTCTTAGTACATTTTTAATCTTTTTATGACCAATTAAGACCCGGTTCTTGTACATTTTTAATCATCGTATATATCTTATTCATATTAGAAGTGTACTCGCGTAATGCAGCAAGATACATCTCGATTTTAATGTTCTATTTTATTCTGTCGATGTTACAATACGATTTTATGTGTTCTTAAGAAAAACAATAATGATTTTGTTTTTTGAATAAAATATAAATTTGAAAAAAAAAATATCAATGTTAATATCAAATCAATTATTTAAAAGTTCTTATTTTTTTATGTAATTTTTTTATTATAATTTAATTTAAGTTTAATAATGAAATAATTTATTTTTGGTTTACTAATATAACATTTTATAAATATAATAATTAAGTATTCTGTTGGAACTCGATGATTATCTTAATTATATTTTAAATTTTTTATATTTAAAATGAGATGTTTATCCTATATTTGATTATGTTTATCTGCAGTTAGTTGCATGAATTCAGATATGGAGCTTTAATAAGTTGTATTTACGCACAATCTACTTGTAATTTTGAGTTTTAAGTAACATGCATTAATAAACAGTACTTTATGCATAAAAAGTGATTTTTAAGAGTTTTTTTCAAATGCTTTATGATATAGCATAGATTAAATCATCATATTTAAATATTTATTAATTAAAAAAGCAAACTAACGTTACTTTTAGGGCTGTAAACGAACACAAACGGAGACTTATTCATGTTCGTTCGTTTAACTTAACCGAACAAACGAACGAACACGAAAGGTAAAGAACGAAAATCTTTGTGTTCGTGTTCGTTCGTTTAGAAATCAAGTGTGTTCGTGTTCGTTTATGTTCGTTCATTAACAGTACGAACGTAAATAAACGAACATAAACGAACGGGTTAAACGAACATAAATAAATATTATTTGAATTCAAAGTAAATAAATAAAAGATTATATATTAAATTTAATATATAAACGAACGAATATAAACGAACGGTAAGTGAACGAACGTTCACAAACATAAATGAATAAACGATACTTTTGTTCATGTTCGTTCGTTTAACTAAACGAACAAAATAAACTTGTTCATTTATTAAATAAACGAACTTTTCGTCGAACGGTTCGCTGAACGTTTGGTTCGTTTACGGTCCTAGTTACTTTTCTTTTATTTCATCTCGTTATTCCAAACCCAACAACAGATTTCTTTGCGAGCTAAACCTATTGGGCCAGTAATTTAATGGGCTTCATGGACCCTTTTGGAATTTGGATAAAAACGTGTTTAAAGCTTGTTGAATGATTAAGTTGTCAAAATGATTAAGTGATTTTTACGATATCGTGGAAAATGAAATATGGTTGTTGATAATTGTTCATAATGAAATTAAGGCGCTGAATGATTTAGTGTGACTCAAGATACAAAATTATTCAGATGGTTTTAAAACCACTAATAGACAGGTTTTTTTTGTCAAACAAAATTCACCTCTTAACGATTCAAATATTGCATCTTAATAGAACTTTTAAGAGGTAAACAAATAGCCCCAAAATCGGACTATAAATGAAACATGTGTTGATTTTATATGCGAGTAATATCCAAATAAAGAAATCGTGATACATATAATATTTTGGAACACAATACATGTAATTAGATTATAATATTTATTAAATAACACTTGTTTTGATGGAAATAAATGATTAGGTTAATGTGAAAATAATTTATGGTGAGAAGCGTAAAAAAAGAATTCCCTTCTAAAGCGTAATTGATGGTGTGCATAAGATTAAAACTGATCAAGGGTTCAGATATTTTCTTACGCTTCTTACCATAATTTTTCTTCTCACACGATTCTTCGCCTAGAAACAAAATTTGTAATACAGATAATATTGTATGCATAGATGAAAGATCGTGTGAAAACAATAGTTTAGATGAGAAATGTAAGAAGGGATTTTCCACTCTTGATCACTTTTAATCACATTCTTACTCATGAATTGCATTTTAGAAGATAATTGATCTGGTGCATCTTATTATCTTCTCATCGTAACTTTCTTTCTTACCAGAACCCAACCCAACCCTATATATATATATATATATATATATATATATATATATGAGCGTTCAAATAAAAACCGGCCTCATTTGTGTAAACCGTGTAAACCAATCTCATCCATCCAATTTCTTGATCAATGGCCAAAATTAGTTTACTTTATTTTAGGAAATTAAATAAAAATATATATTAAAATTTTATTTTATTTCAACAGTAAGGGCATAAATGGTAAACAAAATTTAATATTTGGTAACATCCTACTCGATCTTTCATTAATCTTTTTTCATGCAAATTTATTTTCTTTTAAGATTAGTTTACTTTCATGAATCTTTTTTCATGCAAAATTATTTTATTTCTTTCGTTCCTGGTTTGATGCATTAATTCCTTTAAGCCTTGCAATCTTAAAGATTCTAAAACATATTACAATCTTCAAAATTCTGGAGCAGTTTCTTCATGTACCCGTTTCATCATTCAATTATTTCATGACGAACCAAATACATTATGCAACCGTTTCACTAGTCATGCTCAAAAACGCCATGAACCAGTTTCACTTTCATGAAACCTATTTCATGTACAGTAATTTTCTTATTTCACCACTGATTTGATGGATTCATTTCTGTAAGCCTTACAATCTTCAAGATTCTGGAGCTGGTTACAATCTTCAAGATTCTGTAGCAGATTAAAATCATTTCCCCGTTTCATCATGCACTTAGTTCATGACGCATCAAATACAAAATRYACCGGTTTCATTTTCCTCTTCACCAACTAAATGGATCAACTACACAATCAATGCAACGGATTCACCATGAAAATGTTTCGGTTCACATAATTTATTTGCAACATGAACCAGTTTCACGTTCATGAAACCAGTTTCACGTTCATGAAACCTGTTTCATTTCTGGATTTTTTTTTTGTTCATCTACGATTTGATGATTTCATTATACACTTCGATTGTTTCATCAAGATCCGTTTGCTGATTCTTAAAGATTACAATATATGAAATTCAAAATTTTAATATTATAATATAATTAAATATTTAAATGTTACCATTTATACAATTTCHTTTATTACGTTTCCTTAATTAAGATTTATTAATAACTTCCATATTTAATAGAAAATATTGTAAATGACTGAAATACTCTTATTGATTAATTTTAATTAGAAAAAAATGGAATTTTTCTATTGGTCGAAATTTGGTTTACACGGTTTCTTAGAAATGCACGGTTTTCATTTGAACGTGCCCCTATATATATATATATATATATATATATATATATATATATATATATACACATTAAAAAATGTATTGTATATGTAAAGTATGTATTATAATTACACTTATTTAAATATTTATTTGACATTCTCTATTAAATTTATTATATAACTAAAAGAACTCGTATATTTTAAGAATAAGTTAACATCTGAGCTATTCAAATATCTAACGTGGATGGGGTCCCACTAATAAGGGAATGAGACTCTTGCATTTGTTGAAGTAGTGTCATGGTCAAATGGGTTTCATAAGGTGATCTTTGAATCCGACCCCAAACAAGTAATAATGCTTCAGGGAACGATCTTTTTGAAGTTGTAGACGTTATCTCGAGATGTACCTTTCGGCTTCAAAAGAATTATTTCTTAATCAGTCGTGTCAGACGACAAAATAATAAAGTTTCCTACATGTTGGCGTAGAAATCTCGTTCCTCTTCTTGTCCCGCTGTTTATTATGATACGCCAAATTTCCTTACTTCTTTTATGAACATTGTGTGCCCAATTAACGGTCATTAATAAAATTTAACATCATTCAAGTTCAAAAAAAATATCTGACGTTTACAGTACTCTTACCAACAGGGTTGTCCCAATCTTTTTGTAAACCCTGTTACATATGTACTAAAACTATAGATCTATGAAACGAGTAATAAATAAAATAAAATATAAAATTTCATATCATATTACAAGATCTTACAAATTAAAACAACAAAAGTGTTTAAAATGAAAAAAGTGAAAAAGAAACTAGACAGATTTTTATTGTGGTGGGTTCACTTGTTGCGTTATATAAATTCATACCCAATAATTTTGAAGGCATTATTCAAAAACCAAGACTTAACATGTTAATGGATGGCCTGCTTACGAAAAACTATCCAACCATATCTCTTTTTTTTTTCCCAGTTAATTATAGTGTACGGACGAGCTTGTACGCACCTTGACTAATGGGCCCTAGAAAAGAGCCAGAAAGACCTTACAGGACGAGAAGCAACAACTTTCCTCAAAAACCCAAGCATTATTACAGTTAAGGGGTTGTTTGTTTACCTGTTAATAGTTCTATTAAGAGGCAGTCTTTGAATCGTTAGGAGGTGAATCTTATTTGACAAAAAAAATATATCTCTTAATGGTTCTAAAATCTTACTTAATGGTTTTGTATCTTAGGCCTCATTTAACCATTCAACACCCTAATTTTATTGTACATAATTACTAAACAATTATATTTCATTTTGCATCAAACATTAAACAACTGACAAACAGTTCCTAAAGTTAAACCCAGAAAGCTAACCATTTTTTAACTTTCTACTATAGTTTATTCTAGTGATTTTTGGTATATGCCCCCACCAATCAAGAAACCAAAAAAAGTATTTCCAAAAAAAAAACCAAAAAATGGTCTTTCGAAATCAAAAAAAAAAAAAAACCGAAAAATTCCTTCTAAATCGACATAAAAACTTAAAAATCTCTCGAAATCAACAAAAACATTATAAAAATTCTTTTGAAAATTTGAAATTAGGTTAAAAATACATCAAATGGATTTTTATCTATCGTAAAGTTATCCTACACTAAGAATCTGTAATGCAATCAAAGCCGTTCATTTTACACACATCCAACGGTCATAAACACATCCATGTCATGGTTCATCTAACGGTCACAAACACATCCATGTCCGAACCCCTTTTTTGACGACGTGATCTTAACGCTTGTTTCGCTCTGTATTCTACATCCTTCTTTGTTCTTTCTACGCACCCAATTACCAATTTACCCTTTTTCATCTCCAATTTGGCGATCTTGTGATCGCGTTTATATCATCTACCTCGCTCTTTCTTTCTTCCTTCCTTCTTCTCTTGCTTAGATTTCATCTTCAGATCCAACTACCACCAATCGTAACCCCCAATTCGATATCTTCTCACAAGGTTTGACTTTCATTTTTCTTGCTTAATTCTATCTGATTTGATCATGTTGGTTTCGTGTTGAAGATTCTTGTTTCGCAATTGGGTATGACTTGCTTTTAAGTAATTTAGTTTGGGTTTTCCTTTTTGGAGTTTGTTTGTTATTGGATCGATGATTGATCTGGTAGTTGCTTTGATTTCACGGATCTTTAGTTTGATTCGTTGTGTTTGATGTATTCTGTAACGATTGATTGGAAATTTGGAATTCTAGTTTTGTTGAATAACCCTAATTTTCGCTTAGGTCAATCGATTAGTTTTTCCTTTCTGTTTGATTGAGCCTACACCGTTAACACGCTATTAGATCTTATTCAACAAGGTGTTACGGTCTGATTGCTGCAAATTACTTTAAGGAGTACGAATTTTCCCAATCTATTTCCGCTTTGTGGTGTTCTTCAATTCTTCTTGGTTTTAGATTCTAAGTTAAGAATTTCATAGGGCTTTGAAAATCGTATATTGTGAAAGATTTCAACCGATCGTTTCTTGTTCTTGAACACTAGAATTGAAGCTTTTGGATTTACAATTTATTGGTACTTATCCATTTTGAGATTCTTGCATCTGCTACTTTGTCAATTGTATGTTTCTTGTTGAGAATGATGCTATTTTCATCCTGAATTAAAGGTGTTGATTTGATTTCTTTGCAGGAGGGTTTGCCATGTGAGTTTGAAAAAGAGTAACATTTTCTTATTCGATTACTTATTTATTCAATTTGTGCTACACAAAGGCTGTGAGAAATCAAGAAGAATGTTGCGGAGTGGTGGTTTAATGGGCGCTCGACATTCTCTTAAGCTCTCTCCAGTTCTATCCGTTTGGGAATGTATTGTTCGTAAAATGAGGTATTCCTTCAGACCCGAGTGGGTGTAGGGGGCAGCGAACAATTGGGAATTGTTACGTTTAATTAGTCTTTAAGTTCGTAGTATTAGACAACAAGAGAAAGAACAAAATTAAAGACAAAAAACATAGTGATGATTTATACTGTTTAGAGATAAAAAAAGGATTTTTAGATTGAGTAATCAAGATTGTTTGTTAGTTTCTATATTAAGATATGGAGTGTAGTAAAGCACCATCTGGTGTTAGAAAAGTTAAGAAGAAGCAAGTGAAGGACGAACTGGATCGTATCAAACAAGCCGAGAAGAAAAAACGACGATTAGAGAAAGCCCTTGCTGCATCAGCCGCCATTATTTCCGAGCTGGAGAAGAAGAACCAGAAGAAGAAAGAAGAACAACAAAGGCTGGATGAAGAGTGTGCTGCCATAGCTGAGGCTGTTGCTTTGCAGGTCCTAATTGGTGAAGAATCAGATAAATCATGCATTCAAACCATGATGCAAAAAGATGAAGAATGGTATCCATGGGGGTGCTGCACTAGTAACTTTGATCTCTTCGTGGGCGACAGTCATGCTAGAACGACAGCTGCTTTTATCCCTCACCCTCATCAACTATCCGCGTATCCAAATGGAGATATGGGTCCAGTTTCGGGATCGAAATGCCAATGGAACGGGTATGGATATGGGTTGAGTGATGGTCGGAGACCGTATGTTGTGGAGAGAGGGTGGGAAGCTGCAGAGGTTTCGGAAGCTGCGTTAATGGCTGCACAGGCGGTTTCTTCGCTCCAGATTGCTGATGATGGTGTGAATGGGTTCGTTTTTAATAGAATGCTCAGAGGGTGAATACTTGTTCAAGTGGTATGTTTGATCCAAATGGTGGGTTTAATTTGTATGTATTTTACGTTACATAGATCGATCCCGGTGAATGAATCATTCTATGTGAAGTTGTATTGGAGTGAATTTGTGTTCTTTTGATCCTGTTTCTTCGAGAAGAATCATTGTTTTCTAATTCTGCTACTGGAACTGGAGTGCTGCTGTTATCAATAAGATTAACATACTCGAAAGTTGTTCAGTAATGTGGCTGTTGTTACTTATGTTGTAAATTTTCTTTAAAAGATTTTAAGTGAGGTGGTTTTCGGTGTTATTATGGTTAAAATCTGTCGGTTACTTCTCGATGCTAATCCAAATTGATGGTGTCTTAACCGATTATTGAAAACCGTAGCTAGCTATGTGATGTTGCGAAATTGACGACAGCAGAGGTGTCGAAGATTGCATGTCGGCTAGCGACAGTGATGGTGTTCTGAACCGGTCAATCAGAATCCGCCCCCACAATCAAGACCAACAAACTTTCCAATATTTTGGGCGTTTGTACCCGTTTAGAGGGTTTGTATTCTCTAATATCATTTTACAGACCTCAACACAAATGCAGCCACAGTTGAAGTATATATATGCATTTGATAAAACGGCAAGTTTTCGGTCATCCAAGAAAGGAATATCAAAATACAGTCCAAACAAACTTTGGCATGAATGGAAAGAAACAGTAACAAATCCATACATAAATACCGAAAACATAGGGTCTATAAAACTAATACACAAAGAAAGCAGTAACAAAAGTTCTACATCTCAAGTGACCGTAGGGATGCTGTTTCGTATTCTTGTCTTTGTGGCCTCTGAGGGTGCACAACTTCATCGTCTCCATTTTCAAGCGTGACACTAGTTGATGGCTTGGCTCCAGCAGCCACGAGGTTTTTAAACCAAGCAGGTTGTTGGAATCTCGGGCTGTTTCTGTTAGCATTGCCAGGGGAATCTGGAGAGACTGGGGTCGTAGAATTTGAAGCGATCCCAGAAAGAAATCGATATGCCACCTTGCTAGCTGTCACAATCTCGGTTTTCGCTTGTCTGAACTACAAATTCATTTTAGAATACACAAGTTAGGGCCTGTTTGGTAGTAGCTTAATGAGCTTAATGGGACTCGTAACTTATTTGTCCAGCTATACATGATTGTTTGATAGTGGCTTAATGATATAGAAAGTAACTTATTCAGTAAGCTTCTAGGGGGAGCTTTATGCAGAAAGCTAAGTTTTTTTTTTCCAGACTTGCCCCTCCCAATTAAAAAAAAAAACTCTTTCCATATATGGGAAAACCCTTCCAAACAAAAACTTTCCCCAATCTATATGGACAGATTAATTCACACATACAGCTTTATTCATACACGACTTAATGAAAAACCAACCAAACAGCCCCTTAGGCCACAAAGATTCAAAACTATACAAGCATAAAACACACACAGAACTGATGCTCACCCGAATAGCTGTGCTTTCTGCTATTTCTACAGCAGTGTCACCAGCATTAGCAAACCTGTTCACCCAACCTGTAAAATAGTGTTTCCGAACATGGTTAAAAGGGAATCTCCAACGGGTGAGACAAAAACCGGTACATTGCCACACCAGCTTAAAAAAACTGGTTTATACCATCGTGAGACAAAAAAAAGTACTTTTTGAAGGCCCCAGAGCCATTTTAATAAATAATTAATAGATGAATTCACCCATTCTCTTTTATTATAATTTTATAAATCATGGATTGGTTCATGAGGGTTGAAGGTTTATAAAATGTGTAGGAAATGAAATCTGATGACGATGTGGCAGAGTCATGAACTTGTAGATACTCTAAGTACAAGATGCTCCACTCCCAATATAAGGTTCTTTAAGTTCCAAATTCTAGAAGTGCATATTTGTATTTTAGTTTGCCCATATTTCTATTTTAGTTTGTCCCAAAAATAAGTGCATGCTTTCCATTCTACCCTTAATTATGAGATGGAGAAATAAATTACTCCCTTTATTATCAAGGGTAAAACCATCATTTAGTTCATTAAAAGTGTAATAAATACACTTTTCTAAAACTGTCTTTTTCATTCTGGTCGCTTATTTCGGGACGGTGGGAGTATATGCAACAATCTGAAGCAGTATATGTATAACCCGACACCGACACAAAATTATTTATAAACATATTGAAAACAACTACAAAATTCCAATCGATAGGTAATGATAAGCTGAACCATATTTGAAAGCAAGTGAAAAACCAACCTGGAAGTTTAGGGACATCAAGTCTTTCACAGAGCTCGTTGCAAAAGTGATTGCAGTTTTTTGACAGCAAGTCATAACAGTTTCCAGGCCATTCTCTGCTAAGTTCCCTCAGGATCTGGTTGACCTTGTATTTAGATAAGTCTGTTTTCCCAAGAACAATGCATTCACGATATGTGTACATTGGGTTCTTTCTGGCAGGGCAACTGAAAACTCCAGTGCCTTGCTCACAGAACCCAAAAGACCATTCATCCTCTCCATAAACCTGTCATAATAGACTAATTAAAACAAGCATGAAATACCACTAAAGATTATAGTGGACAAAGACCTTTTGAACGGTCCAATCTAAGATTAAAACTAGGGTTGTATGAAGAAATTGTATACAATGCTCAAAGATGACGAAAAAGCAACTGCATCTAAGAAAACTTGCAACATAGTACAGAAGTAAATATACATCTAAGTCATGTAAGAAAACAACAAATTTATATATATGGACATAAAGTTAAAACAAAATTCGAGATAAAACCCTAGTCAAAAAAATATATGAGCTTGTGTGGAAGCCATTTTATGGACTGGATGCAGGTTTACGTGCATTCTAGAACAGCAGGCCCTGGGAAAGAAGTTAGAAGAGGAAAGTTTTGTTTTGCTAACCCCCATCCCTGATGAGAAGAACTTTAAATGGCAGACAAACAAGAATTCCTAGGATTGGGGACCGAAAAATAAAGATGCCCAAGGATTGTCCTAGTTGTATCTCAAAATCTTTACATCATTTCTTTTTTTTTTCTTGGACAGTTTACAGACATTACTTCACATTTGCAAGGGCATAAAAATTTCTTTAATAGCAATCACAGAAGTAAATTTATGACAACCACCAATGTTAGGACCAAACTCACCACTTTTTCATTTTTGAAGACTCAAAATGTAATTACAAGGTGAGAGAACACACATTAACTCAAACGTTTTTCCAAATTGCAGCGAGTTTGATTTTAAATTTGGTGGCAGACTGGCAGCTATATGCCAATAGTTGAAACCCAATCCATATATGTTTCAGCTCATATCTACAAATGACAACTTTGCCCTTACAGGTAATATTGTCCCATGATGTGTCACTCTTATTTACACCCTCGTTCTTTAGAACATCTGTTCTCCCTTCATACACATTTCACTAGCCACCCTGGCCCCGCCGGGGGGGGGGGGGGG